TCAAATGCATCTGGAGATCTGGGAGGCTTCTTGCTGTCTGCTGACATTCAAAGAATGGAGGTCTACGGTGCCCGAGACAGAAATGTCCATAAAAGTCCACAAAAACGTGTCAATATTCCTCCATACTGCTCGTCCAATGTATTCCAAGTGTCCTGAGTGGGTAGCATCCAGAATTTACTCGAAACGAAGTCATTTAGAATGTTTTTAGAGCATAAACAGTAGTGTATAGTATTCCCTGAAAGCGCGCGCCAGCGCGTTGAGGACGCTACGGAAGCCGGCAGACTAAACCAGATGAAAGTGCGCATTCAGCGTCTGCTCTGCTGATAATGCAAGCGTAGAAGAAGAAATGTGCTGTTTACCTGTGCAAAGAAAGAAACAATGAAAGAAAAATGTCTGAGGACTTCAGTGTTGAGGAAGAGCAGGAGTTCTTTGCCGAGCTGAATGCGCACTTTCGTCTGGTTTGGTCTGCCGCGGTTTCCGTAGACTCGTGAACGCGCTTTTAGGAAATACTATACACTACTGTTTAGGCTCTAAAAACATTCTTAATTACTTCGTTTCGAGTAAATTCTGGATGCTACCCACTCAGGACACTTGGAATACATTGGACGAGCAGCATGGAGGAATATTGACACGTTTTTGTGGACTTTTATGGACCTTTCTGTCTCGGGCACCATAGACCTCCATTATTTGAATGTCAGCAGACAGCAAGAAGCCTCCCAGATCTCCAGATGCATTTGAGATATCAAAAAAGTACTCCAGAGTGTTGTTCAGCATGGGGGTGAGTAGAAAATGAAGGCTAATCATGTTTTGGGTGTACTATTCCTTTAAGGTGTATAACCTTCAAAACACTGCTGAAGTGACACTCAAACAATAGAAACTCTCCAACTGCCTTCATTACAAAGCTAGAGATAAAAAATCTCTGCTGGACTTTGTATTCTTGTACAAATATGATACCAGTCACAGTTTTAATAGACTGAAAAAGCAGGTAGGTATTTAATTGCAGGCTTTCTCCCTCTATAAAATAAAATGTTGTTCTATATCCAGGACAGTTTTGTTTTGATGCTTCCTGAAACCAAGGACTTTACCACCATTAAACCTGAGGTTTTTCAGGTAAAGGGACCCACATTCCTGCTTGCAAAAAAAAATGTGGGGAAAGCCTAGAGAGGAAGAGCAGTTAAAGGGTTTTATAAAAGGGTAAAGGTCTTTATTGTTTTTCACCCTGAAGGAAGCTGTGTGTCTTGTTGAAAGCATAACTAAGTGTACAAATTGAAAATACAGAGCAGCATGTGGTATGCTTGTTCAACCTTAAGGGGACTGACCTCGCGAATTCTGTCGTTATTGTTTTGTAATCAATAGATACTGTGATTTGTTTCTTTAGACCTCTTTTTAGAAAGTTTGAATTGGAAGGTTTTATAACCAACAACTAAGATGAGATTATGTTTCTGCTTTCTTTTTGTTTATATATTATCTTCGGTGTAGAAATATTTGACACCTCCACTAGAGATACGTCCATCCATGTGTTTTCAACACCTCCCCAATTATTATCATTAACTCTGTCAATACAGGCTCTGTGTTGACGTTATTTCTCATCTTGATTCATTTAAAAAGCGTATGCCTGACTGTAAGTAGGACGAGTGTAAACAGATGGCAGACGTAGTGTCGTGGTAGAGGGCTGTTATAAGCTCAATGATTTAAATGTTTGCCCACTGACACATGGCCTCAAATATTCAGCTTTACTGCTTGTCCTTTTCCTTACAGTGAGCAGAGGTTGCAAATAGGTGATTACATTTCATTCATAATCTGATAACATAATCAGTGGAGGTAAACCAAAGTTTGCTGCAGGTTGCATTTGTACAGTGAAGACATCAAATAATTTATCATTTTTAATAAGAACGTATCTCAGAAGTTTAGAAACTGATATGTAGACAGATGGAAAATGGTTGTTTGTTTTTCTTATTGAAAATCAGGAGATTTAAAAAAATGAGATGCATTTATCAATGCAAATCATATTTTTTTCCATCGATTGGTAAATTTTGTTTATTTTTTCTAGCTACTCCTCACTACTTATCACCCTATAGCCATATGTGAAGAGATCTGTGGAAAATTATGGGTAATCTTGTAATTATTTCTCTTTATTGAATTTAAAGGCAATACCTCATCTCTGGTATTAAGGTAAAGGAAACCATCGGCATTTATCAATAAAATCTGATGGTTAGCAAAGGCCTGATTAATGAATCGATAAGAGAATTAATGTTTAACCCTTTAAAAATTGTAGTCTTAGGTGTCACACCTAAATAAAAATAGAATGGCAGTATTCTATGATTTTATCCCTTATGTTATGGGAGATAAAATACTAGTCATATAACTGAGTGGGGAAGCAGATTTTACAGATAAAGATTTGGTCATCTCTGCGTTAACAAATGTTAGTAATATCTGAAACTAAATGTGATGCCTAAAACCACAACTTTAAAAACACTCTTGAAGGCAATAGTCAGTTATCACAGTTCATGTTTAACCTTTACTACCATAAAGAGATGGAAAAACAGGCTCCACCTTCTGTGGAATGGGCTCAAGTTTGAAATTGCCCCTGTTTTTTCCTGATAATATTTCATTTTGCTTTGAGTCATTGATTCCCTCAATGCATAACAGTAAAAAAAAGAGCAGTTTGGTTTTATGCCAGCTTCCAGAACAGCATTTTGCATGCATAAGACAAATGCAACTAACACACAAGATCATTAGTGAGTAGTGTTTGAAGTTTCACTGCTTTAAAGCTCTTTTCATTATGACATTTTTTCAGGGAAGCATTTGTTTGCTTCAGAGGGATGAACTACATTCTGCACATATCAAAATGGCAGTTCTCTGTAGCAAGACCTTTGGTGTTAAACTGGTCTGCCCGCAGTCCAGACATGTTACTTTCTTAAAGCATTTGATGCTTTAAAAGTGAGAAAAATAAAAAATAAAATTGTTGGTCGATTCTAGTCAGTTTAGGTTTCTATATCAAGCAAGTTTAAAAAAAGTGTAAAATGTTTTCACACTCAGAAAAGTAATTTGTTGGACGCTGGCTTAAATAGTTCCAGACCTGCTGCTATTTCTATGCAACAAATTGATAGAAACAAAGAAGTCAGTAAGATGAAACAAAAGACTAAGAATAAAGTCCATTGGTGAACAACTGTGGAAACCAGACCCAAACAAAGCCATAGATTGTTGTTGTAGGAGAGAAGAATCTGTGGTTTGAAACGGGGAATTGTTGTTTTCTCTTGGTATGACTCCAAGCCGCTACAGTACACAGTCAGCTGGAGTTTTACTCCCCAAGGGCCGTTAATGTCAAGCAAGCTGCCTCTTTACTACATAACTTCAACATTTTGGAATCTGCATCCTTTTTTTAACTGTCTTTTCATAATAAACAAGCATCCAGCCACTTGCATCAAAGTTAGCAGGACTCTACTAGATGCACTGAGGTGTTTAAGAATTGCTTCCATTGTTTGGGTGGGTACCCCTTTGTAAGAGTCGCATACAAAAATTGTGCCTTTATAATCTTGAGGACCCTCTTTGACGTCATGCATTCTCGCTTGCTATTGAAATGTACAAGGCCATGAATCTGTTGTCCACCCTCTGGGCTCTGACTCGCCTTCCGAGTCATCAGAAGACCAGAGGTACATTCCTCAGCCATGTTGCAAAAAGGATGTTAACATATGAGGGTTATTTTGTTTTTTAAGCTGAAGAGTTGAGGAGCTGAATAGCATCCTTTGATTTGGGAAAAGTTGTAAAGTTCTAGAAGTTAAAGCCTTTTGTTTGTGCCATTCTTAAATTTTTCACGGGGGTCTGGTAACATCCAGCAAAGTTCAGGACGTCTTCTTTGAAACCTCAGCAAAAACCCTGTCTGGTCGTCCTGACTTACACCCATGATTTGTTTTGGCTCTGTCTTTGCAGCACCAAACTCCAATATTAGTTGTACAGTCAAAGTGTCACTTTCTGTGTTTGCTGTTGAGGCTCGTTAACCAACTGACTAATAGTTTGGTGTTGGACAGTGTCCTGTTGACTCATTCTGTGGTGTTTTCTTTAAAGAGTTTGGGGCTGATTAGCTTCTCTGGAATTTTTGTCATAGTTCATAGTTCCACATCATGCATGTGGCAATACATGAAGGATGCATGTCCCTCAGGGCCTGTAAGAAAACATCTGAACAAACATATCAGCCTCAGTGAAATATGAACATATGAAACCGCAGCAGAATGTTTAGACTGTTTCATTCCTGCAGAGATGTGTACCCAAATACCTGCATAACTGAGTTGTGGTAGTAGCGTGAGATTTTCTCATTGAGGTAACTTGTTGCAAGATAGTTGAAATAATCTTTGTGGACTCAAGTAAAAAGAAGCCTCTACAATCTGATAATTAGATCTTTTAAAATTATTTGTATATTACTGTTTCATATTAGCACGATTAAAATGGCAAGCTATTGTACAGCCTTTCTATTATCTTATGAAGTCTTGCTCTCTCCTGCTCCTAAGCAACCTTAATAAACTAGACACATATTGCTGTGTAGTTTGTATCTTTCTGTTTCATCAAAGTATTCTGACACCATTGGCTCTTATTTGAAAGAAGACTGAATGAAGGGCTTTAGACCTATTGGGAGGACAAAAAATGAAGATCTGTGTGTTGAAGTTGAAATCTTTGTGTATGGGTCACTGCTCTACCCCTGGTCTGCTGCTGCTGCTCCCTCCCCATTGATGAAGATTTTCATTTTGTGTATAATAATCATTTAATTAGGCTCATAAATATATGTTCACTTTTAGTTGCAGCCATGTGTTATGTGGAAAGTAAAAAAGTCCCTACCTTCTAGATGTATGAAATTCTTAATCTCCCTTTATTTCAGCCAAGGAGAAGTTTAAGTTAATTTTAAATTGCATGGCTGTAAGTGAAATAACTGATGTGCAACAATTCTGACCTGAACATTACATTTGATATAATCTTTTTGAAATGACTGTTATTTTGTTTTTTTATAGGCCAGCAACAAGGAAACTGGTATTCTGGCTGCAGCCAAAGTGATTGAGACCAAATGTGAGGAAGAGCTGGAGGACTACATGGTTGAGATTGACATCCTGGCTAAATGTGACCACCCCTACATCGTCAAGCTTCTCGATGCATTTTATTATGAAAACAAACTCTGGGTATGTTAATCCCTCTGTCTGCTTTTAAATGTTTCTTTACTGTGGGTTAATATTCATGAAGCTGATAAAGAGAACGTTTTCTTTAAACAAACTACACTTTGAAAAAGAGGTACGTACTGAATTGAAAACATTTGCAATTTTCAGAGCTAACTTTTTTCTTTAGACCTTTTTGCACCAAGGACACAAAGTTCAAGTTTGTCTTTGGCTTTCTTTCATAACAGCCATTTTTTAATTTTTTAAATTTTTTTTTAAGTACTCATCTAACAGCTGTTATCTTCCTTGACATGAATTTCTGTCGCTCCTCCAGAGTTAACATGGGCCTGTTGGCTGCTTCTTTGATAGATGCTCTTTTAGACCTTTTTTGGGTAAAGATCCACGCATGGTAGGTTTGTACAAATTCGATAGGCTTTCATTTTCAGATGATGGATTGAACACTGCTCCATAGGATGTTCAAAGGTTGAAATGTTGTATAACAACAACGTTGTCTTCTGCACAACTTTATCCGTGATCTGTCATAGGTTTTGCTATTTCTCATGATGCTATTTGCTTGCTAATATTCTTTAGCATAATAGCTGGATCGATGTTAAGATTAAAATTAAAGAGTCTTCTTACTGACGACTTCTAATTTGTTATTTTTTATTTTATTTTTTGCAACTCCAGCTCACCTTGAGTACACTTCTGTCAAAACATAAAGATATTACCCCATCCTCATGCTAAAGTTACTGCAAGAAAGATCAATTCAATTCATGTTTTTTTTTTGCCTTTTAAATCATTTTTCATCTCCACACTTGCACTTTGGGTCCAGAGTAAACTGCTCTTGTAATCTTCCCACACTCAGGCCAAAGCAAATAAGAGTGACCTCATGTTGGGGGTGGGCAGTCTTGCATATCTGAGAAACTGCTATGCAGGGTCAAGTCTAAAGATAGGTGTGAGGAACATGTACTTTTCTGGAGAAACAAAATAGTATTAAATAGCTTAACTAACATATTTTCCACTTGGGCATTATAAATGTCTTCAAATATTAGAAACGGGTGCAAATTGATATAAAATGACTAGTTTTACATAGATGTAAGAGAAAAGCACTAGATTGTGAATATTCCTTTGTGTCTCAGTACTTGGCTCTAGCTATATGGTTGTAGACAAACGTTAGCAGTTTTCCAGCTGCTCTGGTTTAAAGCCGAAAAGCCATTTAGAAAAAAGTCGATAGTCTCACATAAAACGTGTTTACAACTTTGCTTGGTGGGTCGTTATTTTTTCACCCACCCTAACATCTGCAGCCATGAAGAATAGATAAAAAGACTCAATTTAAATCACCCAGAGCTGTTCTTTGCAAGACTGATAATTACTTATAAAACGCTTTGAAATAAAGGAAAGTTTTAATGCTCTTGTATTATATTATTTTACAGAGCAAAAATGGTTATTAGTTTTGTTTATATTTATTTAGACATTGTTACATATGAAGTGATAGATGTAGCATAATGACTGGTGCCACACCCTAGTTAACTCTTAACAATTTTAACAAAAAACATGCAACTCTGCAGTTATTTACCTTATTACAGGTCTAAGCTGATTGCTATCCATCATCTTTATTGGAATCTTTAAAAATGATTTCCTGCAGCGCAGAAGTGACTTGACTCACATTTCTCTTAACTGTTCAATACGGGAAAGACTGAGAATGTCCTAGCAAGGCAGATGGGTATTAAAACTCCTTAGTCAATGGGAACTAGAAAATTGCTGCTCATCCAGTCTTGCCCCTTTTCTACAGTAAAATGATTTAAATGTTTACACCAATAATTTAAATGTTTACAGCTAGACAGAACTGTGACAAGCGTGACTACATGGGGCCCCAAGCTTATTGCCTCTTTGAAAAGAAAGAATGATTGTAAAGAAAATACTCAATTCTCAGTCAGAATAGTGCAACGGTGAGTGTAAACCTATGATTTTTGGGCATTTCCTTTTAATCTGCTCAAGCTCTGCCTTGTGATCATCATTTGGGCTGTCTGAGTGCATTGTATTTTTTTAAAAACACATGCATTTGATCTACGGTACTCACATTTGTTTCTGCTAAGCAATGCAGCTTTAGATTAAACTCCCCACTAATCACTTTAAATGTAACACAAAGAATCGCCTCTGTGTCGCATCAGACCAATGTTCTGATGTCTCTTTTGATCTGCTAACAGACGATCTATAACTACGTTTTATGGTCAAGATTCCCACCTGTAAAAATGTTTTCAGCTTGGATGTAATGATTTAACTATTTACTGTCGCTGAAACCCAGAACATAACTGGAACATGCAAGAGTTTACTCTGAAGCACATTAGCCATACAATTGACCACAAGCTGTTTGAAAATGAAACAGTACAATTGAGACGCATTTTAAACTGGACAGACCTGATCAATAAATTGGTCTTAACTTGAGTGTCGCCTCTACACTCAGTTGCGTCAAGTTGTAGTTCTAGCTGCGTTTACCTTAAATTCCTGAATATTTAAGGTGGACCCTTCCTGTCGTTTAAGCTGGTATGTCAGATATAACAAACACGTCTTTTTGTGTATAACCACACACTTCCTGTGGGTTTGTGTGTCTGCATGAGAGCTGCAGCTTTTGCTTCATTATCTCTGTGTTTTAAGTTGTTCTGAGGTACTAATATGACTTTGAAATTTCAAATTTTAGATTATTGGTCTAATGAGCAGTAATGAAAAGTTATAATTATGTGTAAAAATGCAAACTTCTTAACTAACCCAGTGTTTAGTGATGGGGCCTCAGTAACCCAACAGTGTGATGTGCTGGGCAGGGTATGCAGCTTTAGTCCAGTAAGCGCCCACACCCCTTCTGCTTTCTACTTATAATGAGAGGAAGAAAGAGGTGAGTTTTTTTTTTCTCCTACTTTAGGAAACTATCTAGTCTTAAAGAGAACAAAGGAACATGCCCCACAGTGCGAGAAAAAGAGGGCCTTTAAGGTGGTCCTGACATCAGTAAGCTTAGAAGAATAAACAGAAAGAGGGAGAAGAACAGAGGGTCATTGAACAGATGGAGAATAATGGTTGAAAAGGGGACAAATGCACATGACTTACTGCAGTTACTTTAGGTGTGAAGAAATATTCAGCCCTCATGTCTTCAGAACTTTGCTTTACTTATAAAAACACTGAACATTTCCTCCTCCCCTGATATTCTAAAATAACCTGATGCGAGGACAGTTCACTTTGTCTCCCAGCAATCATCTTTGTAAAGATGTGGTTACTTTGTGCAGTTTGGGTAGAATAGGACCTTTGTCCTCATTCTTCATAGACTGTTTGCTTGTCATTTCCCAAACTAGAGCTTTCATGCAGTTACGCTTGAGGATAAATTCAAACTGCAGCCCTTCATCTTCTGTGAAGTTTAAAAGTTAATGTAAGACATCATAATGACCTTTTAATTATAGCAACTTTGCATATGCTAAACGCACATCTACTGTATATGTAGTTTAACACCTGGCTTTTCTCACACATGTGGATACAGAACATATACAATATCAGAACATTGTACTTGGACATAGCTGCTGCGTCAACTTCTCAGTATTTGCTGTAGTTTTGTTTATCCTCTTTCTGCAATAGAGTCCAGAATAAAGAGTCCTTAATATTATATGCCCATAATGAAATTTTGGTGCACAATATCATATGCATGCTTTCAATTGTGACCCTATGAAAATTTGTGATTAGCTGAATAGAAAGTTTAATCAATTTTAACTTCCTGAGAAGGAGCATATACACTGCCATATTGAGGCTATGCTCCTCTATGCTGTCTCACATAAATGTTTTCCTGAGGATTAAGTATTACTAGCACATATATAAACCTTTTAACATGTTTCTACTGAATTTTGCACCTCATCTATTTATTTATTTTTTGCACCGCTCTGAATCTTCCATATCAATGCCTTTTTGCACCATGTCTACTACACTGTTTAAATTTTGATCACTGCTGCATTTTATTAATGGAAATGTTCATTTTCACTGCTGCTGCTGCTCACTCACCGTTGGAAAGCTCTATGAAACAAAATTTCATTTTGTATGCACTCTGTGTATACAAATTGGCAATAAAGAAGTCCAACACTTTTAGCCTAGAAACGTTGCTGTTTAACCAATACTATTACATAACAAGAGCTGGTTCTAAACCCGGAATTTTTTTCCTTTTACCGAAAAATGTTGAGTTATGATAAAATATTTATAGATGACTATGGAATAGTATCTATTTAAGGAAATTATTAGCTGCTTATTGAAAACTTAAAGCAGGGTTTATTAGTTCCCTGCTGTTTAGTTCACAGACTGTAACTCTGTGATTTAGTTGATTTTTTTTTTTTTTTTTTTTTTTTTTTTTTTTGGTTGGCCTCGAAAGGGACATCAGTATAACTTGTTTGGCTCTAGTTTCGTTGCCTCTAAAACCAGCCTTCAGATTTGTAGAGTAGACGGTTCAAAGAACAGTTTCAACCCTTTAGGAAATCACTGTGTTGCTATACAGTCTGGATCGATCTTGTACTCTGTCATTTTAGTTATTCTTGCATGGTGTTAAAGAAGGTCTTTGTTGGTAACTGAACTTTTCAAGTTCTTTCACCTCAGACAAAGTTAAGCTGTAAATCACAATGTAGCCACTAATTACCTAAATGGTGGACAATACAGAGTAAAGACTGCTTCGTATATTCTAAGGATCCAAGTTTGCAGAGAGGCTTACAATCGGAATAATAACACAAAAAAATGCTTTTTTTTTCTTAAACATTCAGTTCTATTTATGCTATTATGATGTATTTATTAAATAGAAATGTTCTGATTTTAATAATTTTACTTCTCTTTGAAGTAGCCATTTTTTTTTTATTTATTTATTTTTTTTAACCTTTTTTTATGTTTAGAGTCTTCCTGTAAATCTCAGACAGAGTTTTAGTTTATTTGTGCTCCACCCGCAGTGGACATGCTCTGTGAGCAGCTTGACCAGTTGGGGCACATTCTTCTCTGTAGAACCAGGACGTCACCCAAAATTCCTATGGGCGAAACTATTGCTCTTGCTCCACAGACACCAAAACAAAAATAATGTGTGAATAGATTTATACTACTGTTCCTTTCACTCTAGAATTGCTAGTTTTAAAACTTTAAATAATTTCTATCTCAAGGAATTTTTAACTTATTTTCAAGTAACAACAAAGCTTCTACGGTACCAATTGCCATTGTAATGACTGGAAATGTAAAACAGAATTGAAGAAGGAGCTGGACTTTGTCAGCTTAGTTAGTATGTAGACCCAAAACTTCTATAATTAAAAGTATAGTGGAGGATGTTCTTTTTCCGGGTGCATCATCAAAATAAGTGGTCCTCCTAACTGTCAATCATTCTGGTGATATGTTTACATAAGGCCGTCCTATGTGCTCGTCCCCATTTTCACTTACCGGTGGTAAGTCTAACATAGTGGAAAAATGACAAATCTTCTTTTTAAAAGTAAGCTTTTATGAGCGACGCAAACAGCAACTTGTAAACAGAGCTTGCACAAGGAGAGATGGGCTCGTGCATGCTCTCGTTTGATAGACATTCTCTCTCTGGAGCAGGTACAGGGTTGTGCATATGCATTTTTTTTTTTTTTTAAAGTAGAGAGGGCGGGTATTCGCGAAAATCCTCCTTTATACTTTTAAATGTTTTTATCTGGTAAATATTGAATTTAAATGGCCTTCAGCACTATTAAGAAGATTTAATTATGTAAAGAAAACACAAAAAACACAAAAACACAAAAATCAAATTGTAGTCCAATTTTAATCATTGAAAAGCACGGCACCTTTACCACATTTAAATTCTCTACAAATATCTTTTTTTTTTTTTCTATGATAAGCATGCAAAGAGGAATTTCAGGCTCTGATAGCGGTTTTTGGTGAATGTTTGCAGTGCATGTGTTCCTTTGTTAGTTTTAGAAGGCTTGGCTAAAATGCCACTCCTTGTCCTGTGCTAGCCTGATACATTGACAGAGTTGTCATAGCATACAGTGACAATGTAATTATATCAGGATGAGATCATGTCACAGGTATGTTCCAACATTGCCTGGGCTTAACCTCTTACTGTTGAAAATCGAAGTATCGGCTGCTTTGTTTACACGCTTACTCATCAATCCCGATACCTAAGATTTTTGTAAAAAGATCTTTCTTGGTTTGGAAATTTGTTGGCATTTTTTTCTTTTTTGCATTTTTGAGCTTTTTATATATAAGAACAGCCTCATGGATCTTAAATGTCTAAATATGTGCAACTGTAGTCACAGGGACATTAAACTGCTTCCCATTTGTCTTATAGCCTTTCCTTTTAACTGCTTGTCTGTTTTTCTTCCAAATGTCCTGAAAATACTTTGTTTCCTCTTGTCCATGTTGAGTGTGGTACACACCATGCCACCAAACAGCTCAGTGACCACCTGTAGCCCTATATATAGGCCCACTTACTGGTTACAAGATTGTGCTGATTATAAGATCATAGACAGCTGTAATGTTAATTAGTGGACACACTGTTATTTAAAATATCCATTTGGTCACATTTTTTTCAGTCTTTCATTCTTTTTAATAAGGGCTACTTTTGAGTAGTCCTCATTCTATTGAAGCATGGTGGAAAAGCAATGTTTGACTAAATGTAAAAATTGTCCTTGCATATATTCAGTTATTCTTTACTTATCTCTGCTTTCACAGATCATGATTGAATTCTGCGCTGGAGGTGCAGTAGATGCCAACATGCTAGGTAATTTTTATTTTATTTTTTTTTTTTTATGGCTTCACCTTTCTCAACAGCACTCATGCCCCAAGTGAATCGTAGTATCCATATTTCCCCCTATACAGTAGTTCTCCTGTTCAGTTCAAAAGCTGGACTGAATAGCACAGAATTAGTGGGGTCTTTGAGTGTGAGAAAGCCCCTTGGCCTGTTTTCATTGGATAATTCCCCTCCAAATAATAATCTGTACCCCTTTGTGAGGCTAACTAAACATAGATAAAGCAGTATAAGGTCTGTGAACCTTTGACTTTTTTCTGGCATTACATATCCAGCAACAACATATGAACTGAAATCACAGGTTTTCCTTGTGATGTTTTCTCTCATGGCAGTCACACAGTAGCTCAGTCCTCCACACTTAGCTCTGCCATGATACTTTACAGAATCAATGCCCTTGTTTAAGGTTTCCCTGCAGTTCCAAAAGTTGCTTAATTTTGCTTGTACCCACTTCTGATATTTGCTGCTTAGTAAAGCTCATTTTCTCATCTACTTTGGCTTTTATCAGAGTTGGATCGTGGACTAACTGAGCCACAGATCAGGGTGGTCTGTAGACAGATGCTGGAGGCTCTTGACTACCTCCACCGTATGAAGATCATCCATAGAGACCTGAAGGCCGGCAATGTCCTCCTTACAATCGATGGGAACATAAAACTAGGTAAGGGTTTACATTTTCAGTGCATGGATGTTCGTTTGAGAAATAACAGAAACTTTTCCAAATGCAGATTTAAAAAAAGAATGTTTAGATGCTCATTGCATCCAAAACTGTGTGGAATTGGTCCTGACAGGAAGGTGTATTTATTCTGCTTTAGGAAAAAAGACCAAAGGTTTATGTTAGAAAGAGCAACCTATAGGTCATATGCATAATCACATTGTAAACTTATGTTTTCTTCATATACTTTTTACGATTTTTCATGCTACCCCCTCAAAGCATAATGGATCTTATTTGATTGATCAACACAGCATAGTTCAAGGAGTAATCTACAGATCAGGAGGCTGAAAATGTTGCCCATTACTTTTTGAAAATAGCTTAAGCTCTGTCATAGCCATCTCATCTCTGAACATCAGTTTCCAAGTTTTACTGACTGGATTAAGATGTAAACTTAAACCTAGAAATTGTACCTCTGGTTTCATATTTTATGTTGTCATCCAGCATGTCTTTGCCCTGTTCTTAAGTGTTTTGCAGCCTTGGAAAGGTCCTGTGTTTAGCTGCCTTGTCCCACATACGCACACAAGCATAGAATTGCAGACACTGCAGCCCTCCTGCAGCTCTCCTGCAGCCCGGTCCACGGGCAATATACAAGCGTTGTGTGGGAAAAAGCATCTGAAAATGTGACATTTTTTCCTATATTAATGTTTTAAAGCGTTCCTCACATTCCTCACATTGCACAGCTGAAGCTGTTGACCCAACCCAAAGCCCAATGTGTTTTAGATTAAAGCATGGATATCCAGAAAAGCACAAAGCTGTATCAAAAAGTAGTTTGAGTTCAGGAGGTCAGCATTTGCGCCCAACTTCAAACAGAAATATGTCTTGTTTTATAGAACTTTTTCTTGATGAACTGACTAAAGAGTAGGAGGAACTTTAAGAGCTTAATTTCCTTGTGGAACCAGCTTTTACACTGGTTTTGTTTTGGTGTATTTTTCTTTCTCATCTTGCCAAGTGAATCATTTTGCCAGTCATGCTAGTCTCACTGAGCTGGACTCTGTGCCCAACATTCCTCCCCAGTGCAGCCACAGTTGGATTTAATCGCTGGGAGTTGCCTCTTTAAACTCATTATGTCATGACATGGACTCATTTACGGTCTCCAAAAATTATCTAACTACATGTTAATTTAAACAAGGCTGCAATTAAGAGTTTCTGAGGTCGGCCAAGTGTATCAAAATGACCAAGCAAAACACAGCATTAAACTCTGTGTTCTATTTTTCTTGCAGAAGTCTTTATCGTTAAGGGTTTGCTTACAGTGCCTTGCTAAAGTATTTACAGCCACTAAAATATTTCCTTCCAAGACTTTCTATTTAGCTTCATCACTTTGCCACCAAACACATGACAGCTGGTCAATGTGGATGAGGAAAGAGCCTACCCACACAATAATACTGTCACCTCCATGCAAGATGATCACATCTTCTTTCCCATGCCTGCCATGTCCCCTACATAGCTTGTGGTAATTATTAAACAGGACTTCTTAAGTCTGTTTGTATACAGTGACTTCTTTTTACGGCATCATAAAGGCCTGATTTATGGAACATAGAAATAAACATAGGCATGTCATCAGAGTCTAACAGCTGAGCTGTTGATCTTTACAGCTCCTCCAGATTTACTAAGGGGCCTTCTCTGATCAAAGTTCAACTTTCTTGGACTGAAAGTTTAAGTGTACATTCATGTTCTTTTCTTTGGTGGGGGGGATTACAGGCGGACAAAACTCTTCGATTTTCCGATAGGTTTGGTGTTATTTATCTTATTTATGTTGCCAGAATTTTCCTAAATGTTTCATGGAAACTTGGAGAATAATACCAGAACTATCTCAGGCCCTAAACTATTGGCTGCAATATAACAGTTCTCAAAAAAAAAGAAAAAAAAATTATATAATAATCATGATACCTTCCATTCATACATCTATAATAGTAATAAAACAGCATCAACAACCAATGTGTTTCCATTTCTAAGTGATGTTTTAATATAAATGCATAAATATTCTTTATCATAATTTTAATTGTTTTATTTCTGTAGAGGATCTCAAGGTCATACTTATTGATCTATGATCCCACTTTGAGAATCTATGCTATAACAAACCTCGGCTTTGTTTTGATTGAAGCATATTGGGTTTTAGCTTTATTTTATTTGTAAAACAAATATTATACATTCTTTGCCTTCTGCTTTACAATTATTTAGTCTTATTCTAATCTATCGCATTCAACCATTGATGTGATTGGCTAAAATAATGTAATGTTCAAGAGTCATGCAGAGACTTCTGAAAGTATTGTATGTGTGACAATTTGCACACATCTATGAATTGTATGCCCTGATATCTTGAAGAAATCCCTCCAGACCTCTGCTAAGAGTGCTTTTTGACCCCCTGCTAATTTATCTGCTGTTGTAGCATCTTCAAGTTCTTTATTTAGCATTGTGGTGACCTGCAGGAACGATGGCAAATATTTGATAGAAACTTTGCTCTATATTAAGTAATGCAAACAGGAAAACATCCAATTGTTTATTCTCTTACTAAGCAGTGTTTATTTCAACATAAAAAAAATAAATAAAAAAAACGGCTCTGGGTGCATTTTGTTTGCTGCAATGTAAAAAACATTGCGTTGTGTTGAAAGGAGTCTGAATTTCAGTCCCGAAAACAGAACATAAAGTTAATTAAAGGAGAACCCCTGATGTGCAGACTCTAAAGGCCTCTGCAAAAACAACTCTCTCTGCTGGCTGTGGCACATACTTACTTGCAAAGAGAAGAAATATAATCTAAGCTCTGGAATCAGAGGGAACATTGTAGCCCTGTAATCTTAAGTGCTTTTCAGAGCATTGGGATGGCGCGTATGGAAAACTGTCTATAAATTTAATCATTTTGGTTTTCTTTTCCTTAACGGATTTTGTGACAGATTTAGTCGCTATTTTTCATCAACTATGTTAATTTGTTCTATTTATGTTTTTCTCCTTGCAGCGGATTTTGGTGTGTCTGCAAAAAACACCAAAACCTTACAGAGAAGGGATTCTTTCATTGGGACGCCATACTGGTAAGAAACTAACTCTGCATCATGACGGATGATTCAAGGGGCTTAAAGTTAAACAGAAAGTAGCAACAAAGTGACTACTCTCCTAAACATTTCAGAGTAATGATTCAAATGTTTAAAACAAGCAGGAGGGCAGAAAAAACATATCTAAACTTTACCGTTGGAAAAACTTTCAAGAAGACTTGAGATCTATTACAACAAATGTTGCAGCCAGCTTTCCATTAGGGATGCAGTTATTTTAAAGGACAGCTATGTGAGCTCCACATTAAAGAAAATATAAATACTTTGTCATCATTCTTCCTATTTCTAAAAGAAGTGTCAGTTGAAAGAGAACATGTCCACGAATGTATCAGCCAGAGATAATCAATCTTTTAGTTTTCTATTGATCCATTCTAATGGGTGATCAAAGTGTCAAAAAAATGGAAAATGTGACATACCTTGCCGATTCTATAATTGCATCAAAACTAAAGTTATCAACTATTTTGAATGGATAAACACAGCAACTTTTGAATGCACTTTTTTCAGTTAACCTCTTAACATCCACCTCATTTTGGGTAATCCTCAACTATTTTGCATACCCAAATGGAAAAGCAAAACACTTAGGAACTGTAAGCCCAAATTACATGTGCAATACATTGTTTGAAAGCTAACACCCTCTAGTTTCCTAATATATCAATTTAAATTGGGTGACTAGAACACAGACCAACCTGCGTTAGTTCAAACATGACTCAAAGATGTCTTTTTTTATTCTCAGAAATGATGGGTCTTTTCTGAACAGCAGTAATAAAGATATTCCCGGTTTTATTGTATGATATTTGTTCTGCATCATTTCAACCATAAATGCAGAAAATTTCAGATCTCTAGCTATAACAGTTCCAGAGATGTGGGGCTTTGAACTTTTGGTGTCAGCTTGGAGCTGCGCACAATGGTTCCACCTGCTAGTAAAAATTTTTTAGAATGTAAGCAAGAATTCTTTTTATTTCTTTGTTTTTTAACTGTAGCCAAAAGCGTCAAAACCAGAAGGAAAAACCTTCTATATTGTCTAATTTTGATTTGCAAAATATAGCCTGATTTTTTTTTTTTTTTTTGAAAAAGTGTACAAATATAAAAAAATCTAAATCAATTACATTTTAATCTGCTGATGTATAAATGACTTTAATTATTACGGCTGATATTTTTTGTGCTTAAAGTTTTTTCACTTTAAATCTTGATGAGAAAAGCAAATATCCCATCATCAATGCATGGACTCTACTTCAGTCTGTCACCATTGTGCAGTTCTCCACATTAAAAAAAACTGGAACAGATCATGCCTGAACATTGTTCCACAGTTTGATCTGTAAAGTGAATATTTGTTGGAGCTGGTTAATCTGTGACTAGAACAGGTTATGATCCATGGATGAGAGCTGATAAGAGAACCTGCCCAGTTCTATTAAAACATGGTCGGAAGGCATGTTGTACGATAGGGCTGTTGGGAAATGAAGAGCACACAGTTTTGGTTTCTAACTTTTATTCTCATTTTTTTAATACGTAGAGCATATAGAAAACGAAATTTCGGTTAGTACAGCTTTTCAGACAGTAAATGAACATTTTCATTCAATAAAGTGCAGCAGTGATCAAATGTTAATGGTGTATGTGTGTGGGGGAAGAAAAAAAAACATAGTGCAAAAAACGCATTGCTTTGGAAGTTCAGAGCATTAAGATATATGGTGCAAATATGCTGTATTTTTGGTTTGGTGTTATTACTGTAATGCTTGACTAAGAGTTTTTCAACAGCTCAGCAGTCCTGATGGCAGTGGGGAAGAAACTGTTCAGAAAAAATAATTATTTGCCCTATTCAATTTTTTTTTCGTCATACAAGCCAGAGATACTCTGTATATAAATTAAAAAAAATCAAATTTAGTTAACTTAATTTACTTTACTGCTTTAATTTACTATCAAATGTACTGCTCAGTTGTAGAAGAATTACTTTTATAACAAATGGAATAATTTTTTTAAGACTTCCTAATGCTGTACAGTCGGTTCCAACCATGTGGTATTTAAATATTTGATGTGCTTGTTTCAGGATGGCCCCAGAGGTGGTCATGTGTGAGACGATGAAGGATGCTCCGTACGACTACAAGGCTGACATCTGGTCTCTTGGCATCACCCTGATAGAGCTTGCACAAATCGAACCCCCTCACCATGAGCTCAATCCGATGAGGGTGCTGCTGAAGGTTGCCAAATCAGAGCCTCCAACCCTGGATTACCCTTACAAATGGTGACGATTTAAAATGCTTGACATAAAACGAAAAGCAGCAATAAAAAAGTGTCAATATGATAGAGCATGAAACTTGCTTTTGAAAAAGAGGTTTTTGTCATTTTTACACTGGCATGGAAGACTCTAGACCTACAGTCGCCTTCCAAAAGTAAAACTTAAGCAAGAGGCAGGACTTAAACGGGTGCCAAACTATAACTCTTCCTATCAGATTTATGAGTCTTAATTTTTCAGCGCAGCTAATTTATTACCACAAAGTTATCAGCGATGAGTGGTTGAGTCATCATATGGTTGTGTAAAAGGGATGATCCGCTTGTGTCAACATTATGCATCTGGAAGTGTTCTCCATGTTATCAATGTGTTGCAACCCCTCTGCCATTCATCTACCCCTCTGACTTATATCCATTCATAAACTAAACCCTTTTTGTCTTTAATTTACTAAAGGTCGAAGGATTTTAATGACTTCTTGAAGAAGGCTTTGGATAAAAACCCAGAGACTCGCCCCAGTGCAGCCCAACTCTTAGAGGTAAGGCCCAATAAAGAGTGCACAGTTACAATCCAGCTGGTATTAGACAAGGCTGCACTTAAACATGTAATATAACTTTGCCATCAATTGTGCTTTGAAGAACCACAATCCTTTGAATGAAGGTGCAACGGGCTCAACCAATATCCTGAAAAGGGTTTATCTTTGGGACTTTTATACAATAATGCTTTAAAACATACAACAAATGGAATTTTTTTTTTAATTAAACTTTATAGATCTCACATTTTATTTATAGATTTTTTATTTTTATCAGAGTCCACCTCATATAAGGCTTGTGACACTGATTAGAAATGGTAACTCTAACAGGGCTAATATAGAATTAATTACAAGGGGTTTATGAGATCCTGATTCTGTCTCATAGTCAGAGTTCCTGTTTCTGAAATTGCAAGCAGAGGAAATCATAAAAACAGAATGTTGGGTGTGGATTAAAGGAGGGGTAACATCTGCTAAAATTCATAGCCATAGTTTGCCTGTCTGTACCCCACAGCTGAGGAGGAGAATGCCAGATATTTGCAAGCTTGGACCATCCTCTTTATCTCAATTAGCAGGAGGCAGAGATGTTAAATCCAAGATCCACGCCCGGTGGGAATTCTGGGAGAGAGACGGGTGTGGTGCAGTTTTCTGGTTCTCTGCTGAAAGTTTTAGATGTTTATCATGCCTGCTGCTCCCAGTGTTTGCAGATAGTTTTGTGGGTAAGGCAGGCAGTGGTGTCTGATGATGTCACTTAGCTGGAAATTTTAGCAGTTTATTGGGATAAATCATTATAAACTTAAATACATGAATAAATGCTTGAAATCTGTGTGATGGTTTTCAGGTGAAACAATAGTTTTCAGTTTAACCAGGTCTTTTTTTCCCCACAATGCTTCAGAATGGTCAAAAAGGCGCATTGAAGCTTAGGCTTCCAATGATCAACGGACTCTTAGCTTGTGTGTTACCCATAAGGCAGTAACTGAGTGCTGTTTGTCATTTGAGAGGCCGAAGCCTAATAAAGTACTTAAGGAGAAAGCCTCTACATAAACGACTGCCATCAAGCAGCACATACACACATCTACACAGTTCACGGTCCAGCACAGCTTGCAGCCTTTTCTCCTTTGTCAGCTGTTCCAATTAAATTGCACTCAAGTTCAAAGTAACTAAATAATGAATGATCAATGAATTTCCCCTTTGGCATCTGCCTTCTTAATTTAAATTTGTATTCCTTTTCACTGCAATGAAGTTGTATTTTAGCCTGAACACCAGCATTAGATAGTTTAATTGTGTTGCTGCTGTTGTTGCAGCTCCTCAGTAATTCACAGGTGGCCAAGCTTTCCCCCACAGAGAAAGTTTCTTGTTTCCTTGCCTTTTGTTTGTTGGTTCCTGTTCTTACTTCAGCATTGAAATGTGTCTTTGTACAAGTTTATTTCGCTAGATTATATTCTTTATCTAGCAGGACTATTAAATTTTTTATTTGTGTTCAGGTTCAATGAACATGTTTATTTCAACTATCCATGATACTCGCCATGAAATTAACTTTTTACTGCACTAATCTTATCAGAAAAGGCTTTATATGCTTGGAAGAAAAAATTGATTTAAAAACCTTTTTTAAGCAGAATCACCGCATTTGTATCCAAAGAAACTTAGATAATCATAAAAGACAACTGAAATGGGGTCCAACGGGTTTAATCATGCTTCCTTCTTTCTGTTTTGTAGTTGGTGAGGTTTCAGTATTAAGCATTCATAAATATGGTATAAATATCTAGAACTGCCACTGCAACCAGCATTCAAACTATAGAGCTATCTGCTACAGCAGGGGTGGGAAATTCCAGGTCCTGGGGGTCCTTATCCTACAATGTTTAGATCCATCCTTTGTCCAACACATCTGAATCAAATGGCTGAGTTACCTCCTCAGTAAGCAGTCAGTTCCTCCAGAGTCCTCTCAATCATCTAATTGATTCAGGTGTGTTGAACCAGAGGCGCATCTAAAAGTTGCAAGAACTAGAAAATGACCACGCCAGCTACAGGGTACCGGTTCGTGGGGTGGGGAGGGTCATGATGCTGCAGCTGAACCTGAGGGATCTCATCACTTTCTCTCTTGCCAGCATTATACTTATAACATTTGTATTGCAGAATCACTATGACATAAAACTTTAGTGGTTTTGAAATTCACTTAGATTTTGTTTAAGTATTTAGTTCTACTCCCTCAGTGAAAAGTTATTTTTTGGGGGGTGACGGTGACTATCCTGTGGTGATTAGAATTCCTTTGGTCTTAATCACTCTTTAAATGGGTGTCAGCAATTGCTACACGTGTTGTTTGTCAGAAATGCTTTTTGTATTTAAATTCAACTGGTGATAAATTGAAAGAGCTCATCGTTAATTTGTGTCCACAGCACCCGTTTGTGAGGACGGCGACCTCCAACCGCCCGTTGATGGAGCTGGTTGCCGAGGCCAACGCCGAGGTCATGGAGGAAATCGAAGACAATAGAGAGGAAGGAGAGGACGACGACACAATGGATCTCATTGAGGTACCACACAGCAATGTTTTTTTCTGTTTGATCATTTTCATTTTTCTTTGTCAGTGTTTATTTTTGAAACAAGGAGTGAGGAGTATTTCCTCGAGGGTAAAAAGAAAAAAGCAATTATCAAAAAGTCTCTAATTCAGATTTGCAGCTGAATAGCAAGAGGACCTTTTATCTTCTTGTATTTAGGCTTTCACTGAAATAAACACGCTTATTTGTACCTTTTTCCCCTAAAAATCCAACAAGTTATTGTTCTTTTTTCCTAGTTATCCCAGTCAAGCAAAATTTTCCTCTGTGGTAAAGATAGTCGTTCTGCTGATAGATTTATGTTGAGGTTTACTAAGGCCATTCACAGATCCACAGAGGACATAAGATTAGAAAGTTACAGTATGAGAGGGCAGTCAGCACAAACAAAGGAACAGAAGCCGGAATACTGGCATTCCCTCACACCCACATGTGTTTAAATATAGGCACCTGCTTTTAACCTTGTTTCTGTGTTGCTTCACCACAGCAGATGGAGTAAATTAATGTAAGGGTTCTCATTGTTTTTAACCTTTAAATAAATCAGTTTTTAAGACTTTATAAGAGAGTCCATTGGACATTTCATCGCATGGAATAAAACATGTTTTCAATTTTTGCTACATTAAAGTACTAATTTTACTTACTCAGCCGTTTTATGAAAGTAATTTAGTTCATAGCCAATTATCATTTATTACAGTGTTTTGCTGTCAAACAGGGTGATCTCATTTATCAAAATTAATAATGCATGTATATGATTTAGTTGATTTTAGAAGTGCTACAAGATAGACATGCAATATAAAATGGTAAAAAAATAAAAAATAGACAAACATAAGGTTGTTTTCTTTTTACCTCTGAGTGCAGTCTACTGATATCAGTTTTAGTCCAGTATACCTTTTTTTTTCCTCTCCAGAAACTCTGAACAGTATTGCTAATAATGTATTGCTTAAACTCTTGCTAGCAAAGATGTAATCCCAGGGTGCTAGCGGAATGTCGATGCCGTACCTTATTTTTCTATTATTTCTAAAAGAGGAAAAAGATATTACAGACACATTTTAAGTTGTCTTTAATAATTTGAAAATGTGCAGTTAGTGCTTTTTGCCCAGTAAATAGCATCTATACCCATAAACAACAGTCCCTTCTTTGGCTATTAACAGAAAGATGTAAGGTTTATCTAATTTAACCCATAGAAAGTGTAGCAACCATCCATGCTCTCCATACTCTTGAGAAAATTTAAACCTGCCCCATCTCAAATTTCCCTGAGTTTCCAAATGTTCCATCTCTTGCATATTCTTTAAGAAAAAATCAGAAGCTCAAAAGAATAAAACGGGGCAACTAGTCCATCTTCCTTCAGTAGGATGTCGACTATGAACATCATTGTATTATCTGTAGCACAGGACTGTCTAGGGAATAGCATCTTACAAGATGTGTGGTTGACATATTGACAATTATGTAAAATATAACAGCAATTTTACATTTTTTTTTTACATGAATGTATAGGCTACCTCTTGCCAAACATACTAAGTTGTGCAGATTTAGAGTTGTATTCTTGTTTACAGCTACTGCATACACTTATTTTCTTCACTCTGTTTACAATGGCTGCCTTTAGTAAAGATTAAAAGGCCATGTTAGGTGCTTTAAAGTGGCAATGAAGGAGAAGGGATGTCATTTTCATTGGATTTCATTGGATAGAAAATGTGTGAACAGCTTTATTAATTTGCATTTGGACTAGAGGAAAAGGTGGAAAGCATGGAAAAATGTTCATTCCAATAACAACTTAAACAATAAAAACAACTTTTTTAGGTTTGTTTTTTACACTAGCCTTTAACAGTGTCTCCCTATTTCCTTTAGTCACCAAACAAGGAGCCATGTCAGACAAGTCAGACGAGTTTGGATGAAGACCAGTCCGAGTACACTCCAAGCCCCACTACACCCACCACGCCCTCACCAGTACCTTTACCGAGGAGATTGCATCGGCCTGATTCACAAGCGGAGGAGCCCGCAGTCTCTGAGATCCCTGTCCCCCCGCCAAGGCTCAATCTCCCTCAAAAAGATCCAGAGGAGATGCAGGACAAACAGCCTGATGAGCTGCTTGACTCTGATAAATCTGAGGGAGAGGGCTCAACTAAAACCACTGGCTCAGACTCGGGTGTTGAGGATGGGAAGAGTACCCCAACAATGGAGGACGAAAAGGTGCCTCTTCATTTATTTTTTTTTGCTGTAGTTTTATCAAGGAGCTTTAGAAGGTTTGTTTTGATTAAATTTAATGTTTAATTTCCAGGTGGCTTCAGAGAGACCAGAGAATGAACAGTTATCCAGACCTGAGACGGCTTCAGAAAAACTTGACAATATGATAAATAAGGACATTCCTAGAGTACAACTGTCTGAGCCAGAGTCCCCTTTTGTTGGAAACAGAGACTCACCAACTCCAAGCTTGAGTTCCAGCGTCACACCTGGATCCACTCCCACCCCATCTGTTGCTGCTACCCCGGTACCATCCAACGGATTGAACGATTCTCTTAGCAAAGGTACGGCCAATCGGCTGTCTATAGGAGGGAACGCTGAGCCAGCCTCGCCTCAGGCCAATGGACGACTAAACAACAAACGGTTCTCGTATACGGGGAGCATGGCTTCGGAGAACATGTCAATTAGCAAGGATGACTTTGCAATATCTCCAAGGGTGAGTCACTCATTGAGTCAAATCCAATGTATTCTTTCTACAAAACCAGAATTGGTCTCAATACAATATATTACCGTAGGTAGAAATAATATTTCTATATAATATTTGGGTTGGCTTTTGGTTACAAGGCTAATCCCTCATTATATGCAAATTAAGCCTCCAGGATGATAAAAGATAAAACACAAGAAATCCTGAATGAATTATTTACATTTTCTTCTTTACAAAATAAAGTGGATTTTCCACATAATTCACATGATGTAGCTCACTTAGTATTTTGCCAATAATTCACTGGGACAATGGAGACAAAACCAAGCGCACTTAACCGAATCATCAAATAGGAGGTGCTTTTTCCCACATGGATCTGGATTTCACAGCGAGTCACTGTATATTTAATGTGGAAAGCCAAACAACAGTGTCTCTTCTCCAGGGTCCAGCAGATCCTCCGGTGGTGCTCCCAGTTTGGGGGGCATCTTTTTCAAAGGAGCCATAGCTGGAGTCAGCTGCTTCTTTTGGTTCTTGATTCTGTCCAGGATCAAAAACTGTTATCCTGAGAGGAAGACGAATTATGAGCAAAAGCCAGCTTCCAAACTCCTGATGAAACCCCTTGTTTGAAAGTTTGACTTTTTTTCTCTGCTTCCCTCCTTCATCCTGCCTCGGAATCACATCATTCCCTCATTGGCAGTAGAAAGGATTAACAGAAACGTTCCATCAGAGGTTCCCTTCATATTTGTTAATTGTGCCGATGGCATATATAGAATGCTTGGCTTCTCATTTCTTGGCCAATGAAAGTTTCTCCACATAGGAATTACATGCAAACCACACGATACATTCCCGTTTGGTGTGAACACACTATTAGATAAAGAGATAAAGCCCTGTTTTAAAGTAGCAGCCTAAAAGGACGGTCTTCCTGCCTTCATATAAAACACACTGTCATTTATGGAAGCATCGAATTACTTTTGTCCTTTAATGCTTTCCCTTCTTGCTAAAAAAAAAAATCGAACTTAAACTGCTCTTCACTCACTAATGTCCAAATAAAGGAGTTTGGCTTTTGGCACATTGTATTAGCTTGACCAAATTGGAGATTTCTGATTTAATTGATAATTTCTGACCAGTGGACTAGCTGGATTATCTGTTCATCATTTGCTTTAAATGTAAAGAACCTAACTGTAGTAATAATGCTGCATGAAGCAAGTTAAATACAGCTTTAAATCTGTAAGATGTTTAAGGGTTATACTCTCACTCTGTGTTTAGGAATTGAAGGATAACAGAGAGCTTATTGCCTGTGTAGGAAAACCCTACCTTGGAAAAAATGCTTCTCTGCATCCCATTAAGGAACTGAGGCAGCGTTGTGTTGTGTTTTGGGGTGTGGGTGTTAACTGCCCAACACAAAAGATTGTCTGTATCCCATTGGGTTAACGTCAGATGTTAGCTTTAATGAGACTACAGACAGGGGTCCAGCTCATAGCTTCATTTACAGTCTGTAAGAAGTGAATGAAATCCACTGGCAGTCCAACGGGGTGTAAGCTTAAAGCTGGTGAAGCCAAGTATGCATGTAACACATTCATCCACAGCCATCGGGACCAATGGTGCCCTTTGTTTGGGCACAGTCCCACATTCACTATTGTGAATGGAAGTTTCTATGCACCTCTTTGTCACTTAGTTGTTTCTGGAGGCTAACTGATGACCCCGACTGAAAGCCTACTGTCTGCATGTGAATTTCTTTTTTAGAACGGAATATCAAGAAGCGTTGATGTCATAGATGCAATGACTAGATTCATGTTGACACCTCTTGGCTTCTGTTGATGTGCAAATTCAAAACTCCAAAACATCAAACGATTAACCAATGTTTAATTGAGGGCATAAAGATGATTAATAAGATGTATACAAAAAAAGTGTGACTGCAGAAAAGGGTGCATTTATATCCTTTGGAATATCAGATTAAGATTATTTTATGAAATTTATAGTTTACATTTTTTTTATTAAAATATTACCTAAAAATGGAAAACAATAGAAAGGCAAAGAAGGAGCATCAAGTAGCTGTCATCCGTGGCTGGAGGCTCACAGAGGACTGTTTGCTCAGCTGTAGGTGCTCTGTAGTCGTAACACAGCTTTTCATCTGGGCTCTGTATGGGGCTCTTAGACTTTAATAGTTCCCCGTGGTTTCTATTAAAGTATCGCTTAAAAGTCTTCGGTTATTTTTCAGATCTTTAAAACGATAGGAATTGGCGTCTAATGAATGACATAGGGTATAAAATTAAGCAAATATAAACTAGATGTAAGGTTTGATAGGATCCCATATTAGAGTAGCATTGAACAGTTTTATTAATGTCCTGTTTTCAATAGACGTCTGCACTTTAACAAGGTTCCCAAAGCCTTTGAAGGAAAATGAAGCCCACAGCCCTCAGATCCTCTGCAAAACTTAAGAAGGAACAGTTGCTTTTCAGCATATTTATCAGCTTTTCACACCAAAGCTAACCTGGCAGTAGCCAGATTGATGTATGTAAAACTGAGTTTAGCTCTATGTTATCAGGATTATTATTATAGTCTTAATCTAATCGTTATTAGGATTTTTTTGTGAGACTGGAAACTCTGATCTCGTGACAATCCAGCTTTGAACCAAAGCCACCAATTTGGGTTTTTGGTGTAATTGTGCTAGTTGCCAAGATTTTAACCTTTAATTTACTAATTGATGGCTCTCTGATTGATTGTTCTGCTATAAAGCCAGGGGAAAATCTTTGTTTTCACCAATACAGGAAAAGCTTTAAGCTATGATTTAAAATCCTATTTTAGTGGCCAAGTTTGGCCAAGGGATGATACCACATACAGTTTATCATTTAAGTTAAGGGCAAATAAGAATCCAAAGGCAAAAAATTAAATAAAATATATGGCATGTTAAAATATTGATGCCGTAGTTTGCTTATGTATTGATTAAATTTATAGTTCACTCAGATTTATTCATGAGCATGAAATCTAATTTTTAAATGACAGTAGAAAAGAGTTTAGCGTTTACTAGATGGAACTTTAAGTTTGGTTTCCTCCTGCATTGTTGACAGGTTAGTGTTTCTCAGTTTCAGAGAAGAACCTGACTAACAGGAACAATAAAGATGTCTTTGTCATCCCACATACAGACTGTTGGCTCTTATAACAGATCCAGACTTTAGATCCATTCTTGAGATTAGAAATGTAAAAGAATTTAGTTTTGTTTTGTTTGTTTTTCTTGAAGGAAAATGTTTATATATGTTGACTAATGGGCAACTCTGATATTATTCAACTTTATTTTTACATTTTTCATGAACAATTTCAAGACACACAAAGTATGGGGATTTTTTTAAAGAGCCTTTTACAGTTGCAATTAGGTCACATAAAATGGTATTTGCTTTTAAGTGTCATTGGTTGATAAATTTAATGTTTAAGTTAAGAACATAAAGTTTATAGTAAAAAAGAAGATAATAATTAATTAATTAATTAGATCTTTAAAAGATACAAAGCTGACCTAGTTTGCTCTTTACTGGTAGTCCTCCATATTTTAGTTAAAAATCTGTCGGTATTTTAAAAAGTCCCTTATCGGATCTATGTAAAGCTCCCTGGGCTGTAGGAAGAAAAACAGCCTCACAGATCCTCCACTGTACTTCAGAGTCAGAATGTCATTTTTTTATCGCATAATCATGCTTTGTGTCACATGAACTCACCTTGATTGTTTTTTAAAGCAAAAGACCAAAGGTTTCATATGGCCAAAGCAAACGTCCTAGCATAGATTTCAGAATCCTGAGTCATGATTAAATTAGCTGCTAGAATTTTAAACAAACTGAAAATATTATCTGGATCGATCAGATTTATTCTATTCCCCCTAAAAAAAACAAAAAAGAAAAAAAAAAACTAGCATGCTGAAATGTTAAAGTCTATAACGATATCAGGCTTTAATTCTTTGTGTTTTTCTCTTTCATCAGAACTTTTCCAGCAAGACCCTAAAGCGAACTAGGAAGTTTGTCGTTGATGGTGTTGAGGTGAGCGTGACGACCTCAAAGATCATCAGGGATGATGAGAAAAAGGATGAGGAGATGAGATTCCTGAGGTAAACGTGATTTTCTGTGTTCATGTTCAGCACTGACTACATGGTTGAAGAGATTTAGATTGTCCGGTTTGTTCTTCTATTGAACCTTCTGCATGCTGCATCTATTCATTTCTGAGAAATGGAAAGGTGCAGCTGACTCCACTTTCAAGGGCGACTTTTGAATATGGACTTTCTTTCAGTATAAAATACCTTTCTAGGCTGACATTACAGCCTATTGTTGACTTCTGATAACCGCTTCTAATGTTGTTCCTGCTCCATTCGCAGTAATTATTTTTTTTAAAATAGCATTGCCATCTAGTGTTAAGAATATGGAACTGCATCAATAGTTCTGTAACATGTCAAAGTCCCCCCATCCTTTCTTTTTACACATATTCTATGTTTAAACCTGAACAACAGCGATTTTTAGAAGAAGGTAAAGGATGACAATGTATACCAAAATATTGTTTTGTCTAAATCTTCAAGTTTAAGTGTGAACTTAAAAATTTATTTACATTTTTTTTTCTAATAGCCCAATAAGTAGAATACATATTCTAATATGTGAAAATATGTTGTGTATTTGTGTGTGTTTAGGCGTCAGGAGCTGCGTGAACTCCGTTTGCTACAGAAGGAAGAACAACGTGCTCTGGCTGGTCTGAACACCAAACTGGAATCCCAGAGGGAACAAATACAGAAGCGCTTTGATCAGGAAATAAATGTGAGTTAGCCCCCACATTAGAACCTGGTGCAAAATTCATCTGCTCTGTAAATTGTAACAGCACTTTATGTTCCTTTATTCACTTTTGCCTCTAAAGGGAAATTCAGTTAATCCAAAGAAATATTCTTTAAGTTTCGTCTTTCCAAGAGATTTATTTGACATACACTGAATTTCAAGAACGAAATACATTTTGTCACAAGAAACTTCAGCTGTTTCCTAAATATTTATGTGAAAAAATAGCATAAATAATAAAAAAGAATAAATATAAAGTGAATTATAAATGGTTTTACTGTAGAAGTATTTTAGAAATGCCATTCTAGAAGAATATTATTTCTAAATCTAGAGGATGCTATGCTTTTGTGAAGCAGTAAATTTCTAGTTTAAAAAAGGGTTAGATTATGAAACATAATGGCAAGTTATTAACGCCTTTCAAAGTAGTTTAATGAATCTTCTGAAAATTGAATATGTTTAAAGACTTAGACATTCAGCCAGAACTAAATGGAAAAGGTTTAAATCAGTGGTCTTCAACTCCAGCTTGGGGTCTGATGTCCTGCACTTATGGATGTCTGTCTGCTTCTACACCAGAAGCAAACAGCTGAATGACTTCCTCAGTATGCAGTGAAGTTTTCCTGAGTTCTGCTGATGACCTGATTAGATGACTAAGGCGTGTTGAAGCAGAGACTTGTCTAAAATGTGCAGGACACTGGGCTTCCAGGATGACAATAAAAAAAATACCCAGTTTCAGTCGAACCCATTTGTATTTTAGAATGACTGATTCATAGTTCAGACCTAAATACAATTGAACATCTGACATTTTCCAGCTATTCTCTAACTACAGTAATCCGAGCCTCAGCAGTTATCGCAAAGAATGGACAAAAAAATAAAAAATTAAAGTTCTCTAAGTCTGTCTGTGTTTAAGTTCCTGCTTCTTTTTGGTTTTATCTTAGGCCAAGAAGAAACAGTTTGATACAGATCTGGAGAATCTGGAGAAGCATCAGAAACACACCATTGAGAAGATGGAATCAGAACACAGTATTAAACTCAAGGAAGAAACCAAACGCATCAAAGTGGAGCAGGAGCGGGAATACCACAAATTCCTGGAGCAGTTAAAACATAAAAAGAAGGAGGTATGATTCATGTATCTGCCAGCTATTACTAATAATGAATAAGATGTGAAGCCATGAACTACCTAATGGCCCTGTCACACCTTGACGATTATCCAGTGTATGCCGACATCCCAGAATCTTCTAAAATGCTCACATACGCTGAACTTCCTATGCATTTTTTAAATTTTGGGCGTATACACGAGTATTCATAACGAGTCCAAAACGTAGGTCTAACGACAGCTTAACTTTTGCATAACGCACGGCAGCGTAATGCCAATGATAGAGATCAGTAATGATACGTCACAAGCTAGTAAGAGGCAAGAGGCACCCAGCATGCATAAAAAGCACAGCAAGATTTCTCTAAACTTCGCAGTCATGGTATTAATCTAGCTGTTGTTTACCGCATGCCAAAAAAAGAAACTGGAACAGAGTCAAATTAATGAGATAATTCACATGTTGGAGGACAGCTTGTATGTATTCCCGTCTCAGCCTTGCTGGATCCTCCATCTCTTATGGAATGTCTGCTCACCATGAAGTCTGGAGGAGTACAGACGGTTTCCTCCTGTGAACCCCCTTTTATACCAAAACGCTGCCAGTAAATCATTATACAGTAGCTGTAAGATAGAAACACATATTGGACGTGTGTTGGAGATAAGTTCTAGATTAGTAAAGGACAAGTTATGTACAAGTTACTCATAGGTTTTGGTAAGCTGGACGCCACGACTTAAGAGTAACTTACACTTAACTTATTTCAACGATCACGTAACTTACCTGTGACTTACGGCCCACATGTGACTATACGCTAGGATACATCTAAAAATTTTAAGCATGAATTTCTTGACATACTTGCTGTATGTCGATGTCTGCCAGCGTGTTTCAATGTACTTCAGCATACTTCAGAGTGCTCATAACTTGTACAAAACTGACCAAAACTTATCCAACGAATGTCAGCGTTTTTGCCTAATTTTCCAAAAGTCTGCATACGCTGGCTAAATCGTCAAGGTGCGACAGTGCTATAAGAAATACTTTTGAGCTGTTAATCAGGTTTGCTTATTTCTGACCTTAATGTACTTTTCAGGTTAAACATTCGGTTGATAAGATGCCTAGGAGCGAACGTAAAGACACCTTAAAACAACGTATGAGCTTCTTCCAGCAGAATAAGCTGAAACAGGTCAGTATAACAGACATAGACGCGTATTTGCTCAGTTTCAACGGCTGCCAACCCTCCTTATCATCTTTGTTGCCATTTTTTTTAGGAGGAGAATTTTTTGATAGAGCAGAGACAGTTTCTGGATACAACCCTGAAGACGATCATCACCAACAACAAGCGGGAGATCGCAGAAACAGAGAGAGAATGTCTCAAAAAGAAACAGGAACTTATTAGAGGTGCAGTACTTCATTATATTTAAAGGTATGGTGAAGGAGGTTCTTTTTCTGTGGATCATCAAAGTAAGTGGTCCTCCTAACTGTCAATCATTCTGGTGATATATTTACGTAAGGCAGGCCTACGTGCTCGTCTCCATTTTCACTTATGGTGAGTCGGACATAGTGGAAACATTTCAAATCTTCTATTGGAAAGTAAGCTTGTATGAGCGATGCAAACGGCAACTTTTAAATGGAGCAAACACAAGGAGAAAAGCCTCTATGTGCTCTAGCTCACGTTTAATTCCCTCTCAGTAGGGACAGGGTTGTACATATGCATAATTCATATTTTTTTTTAAGTCGAGATGTTGAGAGTCTTTTTAAAATTCATGAAAATCCTCCACTATACCTTTAATGTTCAACTGTTGTGAAATATTTGAAGAAATTTTGTAAATGATTATGGATTATTTATGATTAGATCGAGAGGCCACATTATGGGACATGGAGGAGAAGAACCTTTTAGACAAACACCAGCTTTTGAAGCAGCAGATGAAAGACCAGTACTTTCTTCAGAGGCATCTACTCTTGAAGAAACATGAGAAGGTACGTAAATCAGTGGACATCTGTAATCCTACCATAAGGACAGTGTTAACAATATGAAGCATCTTACCCAAGAAGCTGTGGTGCATTTTCAATCTTGGGGTATAGTCTTATGACCGCTTTTGTGCCTCTACAGGAGCAAGAACAAATGCAGTGCTACAACCAACGCATGATTGAGATCATGAAGAGCAGGCAACAACAGGAGAAGAGTCGGCTGCCAAAAATCCAGCGAAATGAGGCCAAGACGCGTATGGCGATGTTCAAGAAAAGCCTCGGCATCAATTCAACTGGCAATGCTGCAGAGGACAGAGAAAAGATCAAGCAGGTTGGTCCACCGGCCTTTCTCCTCCTACAGATCAGTTATCAGTTGGAGTATCTAATAACTCTTACCCGGCTGTTTAGTTTTCTAAGCAGGAGGAGAAGCGGCAGAAGGCCGAGAGGCAGCATCAGCAGCAGAAACACGAGAACCAGCTGAGGGAGATGATGGGTCAGTGTGACAGCAACATCAGGGAGCTGCAGCAGCTGCAGGTGAATGAGTCATTTTTCTTGGCATTGTCATGTAGATCTTCTAGGACGTGTCTGAAGTATTTTAGGACGGTATTAATGTTGCAACATCAATATAAGAACAAACCAACTTTTTCTGTGTTTCAGAATGAGAAGTGCCATCTTCTGGTAGAGAATGAGACTCAGAGGCTGAAGCATCTGGATGAGCTTCATGTCCAGCAGATGAAGGAGTGGAGGGAGGAACTGAAGCTCAGAAAGAAGGTGGGTGTTTCCCATTTTCTCTAATTAAAAAAATCCACATTGTAGATTGGAAAAAACAAATGCATAAACAAAAGAAATCATTATATGTATTTAAACTATCTAGAGTGAGAACAAATGCACATAGCATATTCTTCCAACTTTGCTATCCAAGCCAATTTAATTGTTCTGACCAGGAAATTAACAGTATCCTTCATTCTTTTCAAACAATATAACTATATTTCATCTCCCTGACACTATATAGTGTTACCTCAGTATAGTTGTTAGATATTTTCAAAAAATAAACATGTTTTTTCATCTTTTCAGGTCATTGAGGACGAACTGAGCGCAAGGAAGAGGGAGCAGGAAGCATTCTTCAAGATGAAAGAGAGCATAGACTATTCAAACCTGAGCTCGCCCAACAAACACTCCAAATTTGTGCCTTACGTGGACTCCTCTACATCATAATCAGAGATGTACGTGTTGCATCTTCCTACTTGCAACAGACAGACACCTGCTGCCTCAGTTTCGATTTGCTTTATTTACAAAAACAAAATATTATTTTCTTATTTGCTGTAGTGAATATTTATGTTTTAACCCAAGTTTTATTTTGTTCTTCTTTTACCAAACAGTAATATTTGCAGCTAAAAAAATGCTCAACATGCCAAATCATTATTTTTAAAGGGTGAATATTAAGAAAAAAGATCATAGTTGCTTTTACCAGCCAGGCAAGTTTGCATAAGAAGCAGCAGTAAAGTACTGGTAAACTAGTAATAAAGTTTTTTCTTGATTAAATATGATTGTAAATGCTTCCCAAATAGTTTCCCGTTATTCTTTACTTGTTATAACCATTAACTTTTAAATTTCTGACGCAGCTGCCAAAACCTTATTTATGTATTGCTTATAGAAATCATTAACTTGATTGTAAATTGGATTTTTAAATGTTTTTTCTGTTTATCAACCATCATATGAAGGACGGCTTTAAATAATTTTATTTTCTTTAACGGGATGTGAGGTAAATTCCAAACTAATTTGATGAAATTTTTCTTTTTCTTATAAAGTTATTTAGAAGCTCAATTTTACTAAACAAGGGAAGACTAGATGTTTATCAGATAATGTTGCGCACTCATTTATTTTTATTTACTGTATAATTAGTTACACTGGACAGGAACTGACTATGCCAAAGTAAATACTGTGTTTGTTTTGTTGTATGGGTGATTTAAATGTGTTAAGTGTGCAATTGTACCATCACAGGTAATGAACTGCTTCTAACCAATGTGCAATACTGTATGGGTGTCTCTGCTAAGCTCAGAGTGGTTCTTTTCTGTTTGTTGTTGTTTTTTCTTTTTTTACTTTGCCTTTCTTTGCACTAAGAGGGGGAAAAATATAAAAAGTTTAATTTCTGAAATATATTGCTTTTCACGAAAGATAAGAAATATAAAATATATATATAGGTTTCTCAGTTTACATTATGGCAGGGGTTGTGAGTATAAATGAAATCTGTATGAAAGAAACCACTGGTGTAAATAACTTAATAAAATACTTTTTAAAAAAAAGCATTATTTCTGTTCAATTCAAAGCATAATGTAAATGAAAACCAATTCCTTATTTATTTAAATAGAATAATAATAAAAAAAATCTCTTTATTGTCCCACAATGGGGAAATTGTGAAAAAATCATACTTGATGTAACTAAAGTTCTGAAATGATCTTCTCTAATAAAAGAATACAAGCACCTTTTTTTGAAACTGATATAAAAAAGAAAAAAAAGCAAGCAATACCGTAAAGACATTACATTTATTATAGTTTTACGTTTTTTTTTTTTTTTTTTTTAGTTTTGCTGACCACTTAAAGCCAGATTTAACCAACTGCACACATACACTGATCAGTTGGCATATCAGGGGTTAAAGACCTTGCCAAGAGACAAAGCACACATGGCAGAAATAATCAAACTGGTAACCTTGGGGAGACAATTTATTCAACTGAACCACAGTTAAGTGGAAGAATAAAAGAAAAAAACACAACCCTGGTTAAAAAAGATTTTATTGACTTAAAAGCAAGTAGAGATTGTTTAATATTGAATACATAAAAAAAAAAGGAAGAATGACAATACTGAAAAAAGGGAGATCATAAATGTGCATAATACACTTCTTTTTTTTCCCACATAACATACCTGAATAAGCCATTATAGGTATATTTAAAAATGTATTTTTGGATGACAGGCCGTTGATGCTGTGATATGGCTTGCATTTTGTGAAACGTTTCAGCAACTAGAAGCAGAACAGCGTTAGTGTTACAGCTTGTAGCCTCGTCTATATTCATCACCGTTCATCAGGTTGCGTGACAGAAAAAAGTACATTTGTTTTTATTTTAACAAATAATAAATTTTATATTTAACATTAAAGCACATTTCATATTAACTCCTAACACAGAAGAAATAACTAAAAGATGGACTGTTTGACTTTTCACTGTACAATAAAAATAATTTGCTCTGCTGAATATCACTTGAAACCAGTCAAGCGTTAATCTAAAATGTTGTTTATACAATGGGCATTGCTTTATTTGAGCAACCAACATGAGTTAGGAAAGGCCTGTACACTTACAATACAGTAAAATGTTGCACAAATTAATGTGAAGCTTTCTTTTCAAAATATTCTGCTATTCAGATTTCCCAACAGTTTAGTTGTGTTAAAAGTTCTTTAACACAAAGCTTCCTTTCCTCTGCTTACCCCGGGATAGCTTCTTACTGATGATAGGATTAACCATGTTTCCAAAAGTTAGCTAAAATATAGCTAGAGCAAAACAATTCATAAACATTAAAATAAACAGCTGCATTCCTCTCTTTGCACAAAGATTGTAACATTAGAACAAGCTTCACCTGTACTGAGTGAAAAGTGCACATCAGTTCCAAATGACAGCAATGGTCAACGATAAGGCAAAAAGACAGAGTTAATAAAGGTGGATCTTAATAAACTGCAATAGCTCTTTCATTTTAGTAAATTAACTGAAAAGCATAACTCATATGGATTTATAACACAACGCATTTTATTTTAATTCAGATGCAATGTATTTTTGAAATTTAAACCTCATGGTGTATAGATGATGAAAACACAGGCGTTCAGAAAATGAGGATATCATAAAAGGATTTTATTTCAGAAATGTCATCCTTATGTGTCCATCAGGGCTGCAACTAACAATTATTTTGTAAATTAATTCATCATTCAATTATTTTTTCAATGTATCAATTAATAATCGGATAGCCAAAGTTTTCTTAAAGAAGATTTCTTATGAAATTAAAGCAGGTAAAACTAAAAATTTTTTGCTTGAGGAGTTCTGGATAGAGCATATCGACAGACATTTTTTTTTTAATCTTAAATGCAAAATATTTCTTGAATTATTGTACAATGTTGAAACAATGAAATTACCTAAGTAGGTCACTCTGTCAGCTAAAAGCATATTTAAAGTTAACGATTAATCAATTATTAAATTAGTTGAGGATTATTTCAGCCCTATTGTCCATTTCTCTACAGACTATGCATTCAGTACTTGCGGGAGGCCGAGGCGCTACTATTTTCCTCAAAATGGCTGTACTCACTTTACACTTGACAATCCATGATGTACCAACACTAGCAGATAATGTGCCTGTCTTCATCAAGCACCTTGGATTACACACCTCTCCTGTCTACCTTCATTCTTTGGGACCTTTATTTTCTAAAGATATTCAACATGGACCTCCCACTCTCTTATGGTCTTTGATTCCATTATGGCTTAAATACAAGAGTGCAACTCTTTGCCAGCAAACATCTGTGCACGGTGGCTTTTAAAACACTGGCTCCAGATGTTAGGCTTCTGAATATCCACATAAACTCTTAAGTAGGTTTTACTTTGAAGCCTGCAGTTATCCTTGTGGCTTCTTCGACCAAACCCTTTCCTTCAATTCAACTCTCCACTAAAAACCTTGAATACAATACTCTGCACAACCAACTGTTTTTGGAGGAATGTCCTCCTGATTTATTGTTTTTTTTTTAACATAGACATTATTATGTAAGATATAAGGGAATTAATTTATATTAAGAGTTTTCCTATTAAATGTGAATTATAGAAGCAAAATAAACATTTAGTTTAGAATTTAATTTATTGGGATGCACCTGAATCAAAGCTTTGAGCATTATAGACAACATTAAAGGATTAATAAGTAATGATGACACCTGGTGTTTCAAACCAGAACAACACATGGTGTGCCATGGAGGTTGCCAAATCAAGAGAAATGCTTTTCAGAGATGAAGATTCAAGACCATTCAGCCACACTAAGTTGTTGTGCTAATACTTTTGCAGGATTCTGAGGCTTCTTAGATATTGTTGAGACTATTTCTGGTCATCTTCTCTTGCTGGCTTCCATGTTTGCTACTGCTTTTTTTTTTTTTTTGTTACTAACTTTGAATGCCAAATGCTACCCTTTGTTTTGGGAACCCTGGGAACTGTTATATGATTGACTCAGGGAGCAAGAAGTAAACATGGCCTACACACTGCACAGGAGTAGTTCCGGTCTGTACCTCTAGGTTTGGAAAGACAAAAAACTCCACTAAGAAGTTTCTGATGGAGAGAACCAATTGTTTATAGAGAATGTTAATGTCCTCCTGGCTGAAAAGTTAGAATGACTTTGGTTGTTTTTAAAATCAATTGCTTCCTTATTGCTCCTTTAATACAAAAAGAATATTTATTCAAAAGAAAAAAAGTAACCTTAAGTGAAAACTAAGATTAAATTAGTGAATGTAGTCTTTAAATTACTGTAGATTTGTTGTTACCTTCCAACATATGAACTGACAAGATAAGAACACTTGCTATAAGGATGCTTTACCTGAAGATATTTCTATCAGCTGATTCATTTTAAAAGGACTAAGCCCACGGCAGAATATACTTTTGTAAGCACTAAAGCCCATATTTTGCAACTTTTTGCGGCATTGTATCCTTAATAGCATGGGTGCTACGACACGTTTAGCACTGTAATCTGGGCTAAACATCCTCCCTACAGCAACACGAGATGGAGGCTGTGACTTGCACAAAGCCACTAAAGCGACTATAAGTTCTTACAATATCTAGATAAAAACAATAATACGTAAACATTATGAAATTGCCACAAAAAAAAGGTCAAGTTATTGCTGCGTCGATTGGCTAGGTATTTTTGACAAGGTGTAACAAAAATATCAAAGAAAAAAAAAATCACCCATAAATAAAACATTTTGATGCCACATTTTTTTCATTTATAACCTTTGTCTATTATTTGTTCACTTCCGATTGTATTTTTAATGAACTATATGACCTAAGGTTTCTTGCTCAGGTAGTTTGAGGGAATCCAGCCCTCAATATTTTCTCCTACATATTTACAGAACCACCAACCACTGCTGTTTTTCTCAAGTACCTCAAACACAGTACCCACCTTGAAGCGGGATGTTTGCTCATCCCCTTCGAAATCTGCCACGGCTAAATACAACTCATCGCTACTTGGCTCCTTGAGTAAAGGTGGCAGCTTGTCTTTAGGTGGTCCGGGCTTTTCTGGCTTCATTTGGGGTTTGGGAGGAATTGGAACTTTAGTGCTCTTGGGCTCATCTTTTTCTTTGTTTATAGGTGGCTGGACAAATGCTTTGGGTTTGGGGGGAGGGGGTCTGCTGAGTTGTGGAGGTGGTCCAAGCTTGGGAGCTTCCAGCGGTTCTTTAAAAGGAGACTTGTTTTCAGTTGGACTTGACGGGTCAGATTTCTTTGGAGGTGGAGGTCTCCTTGGAGCCATGGCAGGCGGTCTTTGAGGTGGTTCTTTGTGTGGGGGCACTGCTGGTTTTACAGGGGGGGGTGATCGATCCTGGCTAAGACCATTCATGTGTTTCGGAGGGAGTTTTGGCTCTTCAGAGTGCTTCCCATTATTGAGCATAGGGATGTGGATTGGTGGAGAGCTTTGGGGTAAATTGCTTCTTGGGACAGAGGAATCATTTTGGTGGTTTCCTTCAGTGGACGTAGAGCCAATGTCTGCAGGTTTTGATGGCCTTAACTTGCTCCTTAAGTTGGTAATGTCCACTTTATTTTCTGCTGGTGGATCAGGTTTGGCAGCTGGCATGGGTTTTGGTCTGACCAAAGGTTTACCCTTTATTAACGCCGAAGGCCCAGCAACCTCTGGTTTCTCTTCCCGGGTATCCGTCTTAGGTTTTGGAGGCTGTTTGGGTACAGGTTTCAGATTAAACTTCTTCACCTCTTTAGCAGAAATCTTGTGGCCACACTCAAGACCCATTTCATTGCGAAGCGGAAGAGCTTTGCTCTTATCTTCCTTCCTAATCTCTGGTGGTTTCTCTGGTTTGAAAGGAGCTGATTTTGGAGTAGCAAGAGGCATTATGACTCCGGGAGCTGGTGGCTTTGGAGGCAAAGGCTTGGAATGATCAGATTTTGGCTTCTCTGCAGCATCCAACTCAAAGCTTTTATTGATAGACTCCCGTCGAGGTGGCAGAGCTGGTTTTTCTTCTGCTGGGGGGGCAGCTGGAGCTGGTGGTAAAGGCCCAGAGAAGGCAGGTGTTGTCTTGCCGGCACTGGATTTCCAGTCTCTTAGCTTGGGGCGGGAATAGGAATCAGAGGCTGCGGTTGGCTCATCTGGTAAAGGTTTAGACCAGGTATCATCAGAAACATTGGCGCCACCATCTTCAAGCCTGAGTTTCTCCATCTCATTGGGCAATGGAGCAAGAAAATTGGGTCGTAAGGCATTACTAGTCTTCTTGTACTTGTCAATAAAAGTGGCAGGGGCCCAGCCTTCTTTATCATCAATCTGGATGTACCACCAACCGCTTGCATTCTTCTCAACCACCTATTAGGAAGAAGGGTTAATAATTCAATACAGTTTAAAGTTAGCAATACCGTAAATTGATTTCAAAAGACTCACCTCAACTTTGACCCCTGCTTGGAAGCTAATCCCATCTGGTATGGTGGTCTGAAAGTCAGCTATAGTGTAATACTCTTCCTCGACTTGAGGTGGTACAGGTGGCTTAGGCAAGTTTGTACCACGTGGCTGTGGGGGAAAAAAATGTTTGTCAAATACATTCACCAAAGTTTTTTTAGCCTATGACTCATCGTCTGAAACATAAACTCATCTTGGTGTTACATCTTACAATGGTTAGATCTCTGCGTGGAGGAAGTCCGTGTCTTGATCCTACTTCTGTCAAAGTAAAAATACGTGTAAGACAGGTAAACTGCAATAAAATCTACATTTCCTATTTCTCTTTTAAAAAAATGTTTTTGCTTTAAATACAAAAACCTGTATCAGTTAATGCAAGCTGTTAAACATAGTGCCTGGTTTTTCATTTGTTTGGAGGACAATGAGATGTTTGTCAATATCACAAAGTCTATCACAGCAATTCAATTAGCATGTCTGCAACCAATACAGTGTGATATTGTACATTGAACACAATGATGAACATCAATATCAACTTGCGGAAAATTTAATAAAAATAAAAGTGGATCATCCATTTACATTCTGACATTGTACAGATGGGGCTAGCTTATCCTTCAGATGACACTGTCAATAGAAAATCACATTTTACATTGATGTGAAACTGTATTCAATAGTAAATTATTTAGATTGATTCATTATTAAACAAGTGTAACAATGCAGAACTTCATCCTCTAACCCAGTGTTTCCCAACCTTTTTTGACTTGTGTACCCCTTTAGGCATTTTGTCTTACCGTGAGTACCCCTCTCAGTTAAAAGTATTGATGATAACTGATTATAAACCAAAAACTATTTTTCTAAATCTTTTAATTTGAGCATTTTATTCTTCCCATCTCAAAAAAAAAAAAAAAAAAAAAAAAAAAACATAAGTATGTTGGCTGAAATTTAGTAAGGAATTAAATAATTTCATAAACTTGTATTTATAAAACTGGAGCTCTTCTGTGTAACTCTCTTATAATAGCATTTAAACTTGATGAACTTGATGAATACTGGAAAAAAAACTATAGTCAGACTGACTTAATAAGTTGTACTTTTCTTTTTCATCAAGAAAAAGAAAGCTGCTTTGATGATAGCCGAAAGATCAATGCGAAGAATAGGTGATCCTACGCTGTTTTCATGTGTCACAGCTGAAGGTGAACTCAAACATATAATAAAAACATACTTTTTGGTTGATAAAAGTTTCCAATTGGGTCCTCACAAAGCAAAACAGATCCCAGCCCCATTTTATTTTTACTACATAAGAAATAAAATATTTTCATGTACCTCTTGCAATGCTCTCGCTAACCACTAGGTGTACGCGTACCCCTGGTTGGGAATCAATGCTCTAACCGGCAAGTTGCAAGATCCTCACTCAGATTCCCTACTGATGGTTTTTAGAAGCCCTTGTGGCGCCTGTGTACTGCTTCTTTGCCTCTGTCACTGAGCCCCAGAGCAACTGTGGCTACAATTTAGCTTACCCCCATCAGTGTAAAAATGCTTGAATGTACAATAAAATGCTTTTTAGAGTCTTGGTCTTGATAAAGCACCATACAGTAAAAGCCATTTACATTTCATTTATGCCCAAACTAAATACTGTAGGATGATTTTAAACTACTTACTAATTTTGTTGTTATCAGAGAAAATCGAGAGCCTGTTTTCCTTCTGGTTCTCTCTGTTGTCTCTTGCTGCATTGTTCTGCAGGTTCTGTTTGGAAACCCCTTCCAGGTCATTCGTGCTGGCATGAGAGGCAGCACCAGCCAACTGTCTTTGGCTTTGAATGTCTGATTTCTTCAAGTAGGAAGCTGGTGCCCAGCCCTCTCTGCCCTGGTACCTGGATAGAGGAAGATTTAGATTAGGGGCCGTTAAATGATATGCATAACAATATGAAGATACATCAGCTGTTAAGCTATAGAAGAGTGAGCCCAAGAGGATTACTATATGGATCTTAACACAAACATTTCTCTATATTTTTTGTTTTAGAGTTTCAGCAATGATGATTTATAGATCTAATTTTAATTACCACAAAAGTCAGTCAATTTTTTATTGAATGCTGATGTATTCTTTTGGAGCTGAACCATTAAATTCATGGCCCTGTGGGCTGTATCTATATAGTCAAATAGTGAATTGATTGTTAATAATTTATTCAATCATTAATAGATGCATGGAAATTATACTATTTTTTTTTACATTCAATAAGGTTTGTAAGAATACATAATTTTGTATGTTATTACTTTTTGATCCTTCATTCTAATTGCTTTAAAGTACAATTCTGGACCATTATGTGTGAAATTATAATGTTGATTTTTTTTTTTTTTTTTGGTATCTCTGCTTCTGTCTCCTTGAACCCCAGTCGGCCTCAGCAGATGGCCGCTCAAACTGAGCCTGGTTCTGCTGGAGGTTTCTTCCTGTTAAAAGGGAGTTTTTCCTCTCCACTGTCGCTACAACCATACTTAGTGTCAGGGATTGCATTTCAGTCAATGAGTCGTTGAAATCAACTGGTTTTCCTTAGATAGAAAACTTTGAATCAATTTGACTGTATGATCTGGTGAACTGTAAAGTTGAGATGACATGTGCTATGAATTGGCGCTATACAAAAAAACTAAATTGATTTTAAGGAATTTCCTTACCTAGGGCCGGGTATTGTTCAAAAATTTTCGGTGCCGGTACCAATACTGATACCTTCACTTCGATACCGGTTCCTGAACGATACTTTTTTCGATACTTTTTTTAAAATAATATCAATTCGAAGAAAAAGAAAATTACAAAACATAAAAAAGTACAAATCTTGAGTTTTATTTTAAGCTCTGATTTTTCCATTTACATTTTTCCTCTTACATAAAAAAATTTTCAGTGTTTAATATTCACTGTTACATTGTGAGGACCTTTTTACTTAGCAGTTTTCCTTTCGGAAAAATTTACATGTCTGCTTTCTCAGGAGACAAACGAGCCCGTTGAATGGGATCCTACTGACAGCGCACCGCTGGTATGTGGGAGTCTGAGCGGCTCCGACAGAAATATTGGAAGGCAGGATGAACTGACTGCACTGATTAAGTTTTCAGGTGGACTTTCTCACTTAAAAAACATAATTAAACTACTTTATTCCCACTGATCACAGCAAATATAGCTGCAAGGCAAATAAAGGATAGAGTAGCTCCGCCCAACGAGCGTCAGACACACTTTTGCACTACGCAGCCAGAGCATCAAAGCTGCTTCAGCCGCGTCAGAAGCTGGTACAAGCAGCAAAAATAAAGCAGCAGACGCGATTTTGCTGCTCTTGCTGCGTCCAGTTTGAAAGCAGCATGATTCACTCCGCTCTGGCTTTGCACTGCCCACGGGCTGATGGGAGCGCCGGCTGCGGTCCGCTCTTCTTGCAGTCAAACACCGAGCAACTTTCTGCTCTAAATTGTTTCCGTGCACGATGTATTGCATTGCGCACTATTGGCATCAATCTTAATAAAGTGAAGCCACACTTTTGACCTGGGGGGCATTTTAAAGGGGTTCCACGACACTGCAACCAGTTCACAACAGATACACATGAACCCTGGCTGTAGGCGTGACCACCTATGTATTTTTCCTGAATGACACAATCACGTTAAGCGTTACAGCCAATCACCGAAACTTGGTACCGAAAGACGAGGCATGTTTCGATACTCTGTAGAACCGAAGCATTTTGGTCGGTACCATAAAAGAACCGATGTTTGGTACCCAGCCCTATCCTTACCTGATCTTCCACCAGCCTTCCAGGTTCCTCTGAATAACCTCCACGATCATGCCTCTCTCTAGGTCAATCTCATCCTGGTCCCTGGCCGAGTACGGGTAAATCACAGAGTATTTTTCTTCTGTGGTTGGAATAAAAGCACATTTCATTACATGTAAGGCCACAATATCTGTTGTGGACTCAACAGATCAAGTAAAAAAAAATTTAATAAAATGTCTTAATTAAAAGTCTGGGAGGCGAACCACTCACTTATACCTGAATAACAATAACAAAGTTTTCCAAAGCAAAAAGGCTGATCTTGCCGACTGGACTGCTGTTCTGAATTGGGGATTAATTCTTTAAAAAGCCGACAATTTAATCAAAAATGATTAAAGATCCCGTTGTTGAAACCACTGTTTGTTAAGATTTAGTATTTTCTACAGGACTGGATTTATTTAATGAGGAAGGCATGAGGAGCATCTTAAAAACAGAACAAAAGAGACTAAAATGCACAACACACAAAACAGATATTCCATAAATACTAATTCACAAGACAAACTGCAGAAAAACAATTACTTCAACTATTAGTATATTCAAAAGACAGCTTATACTTAGTAATTTGTTAATTTGAAGTACTTTTGTAAATATACATCTCAAATGTGAACTACATGACAGCTTTTAAAACACATACAAAAAACAATCACCATGCATAGAATGAATTTGCATGCTAGCATCACCCATGCGACACGCATCCACGTAACCATCATGCTTAAGCAGGCATGAGCATAAACGCACACAAATACAAACACATAAACAGTTAGTATTAAGGTTGGGGATTTGAAAGAAAGGCGTGCGCTCCACCTTGCCCAAAGCCTGTGCTGAATAGATCCCCTAAAGTTCTGCGCCGACCCACATGCCTTGGCAGTGACCAGAATCTCCGAGGCACTGACATCCCAGCATGGTAAGCGGGCGAAATAGGAAGTGAACATTATGGTCTAGCATCTGGGTGACTTTTACATTTTAAATAGAAATCATTAGTAGTGATTAATCTAAAGGCTAAAATTTTTTTTGTTTTACCAATCTTTCTGACAAACACAATCGTTTGTTGTATTCTAAATTATTTGCCCATTTAAAATTTTTTTCTTTACAACAAATATACATTTAATTTCCTTAACCCAAAGATCTGTCATCAGCTGATCAATGTTTTGCCATCTTCAGGTGATATCAACTACTATAAGTATAGTAAGCACTATACAGTAAAGTAACAAACAAAAAAAAAAATCCAAAATGAATCAGTTTGGAAATCATTTCCAGGCTGATTCATTTTGCTGAAGGTAGCAGATGAAATTAGCTTCAGAAGTGAACTGTTATGTACCTTCTTCCCCTGGAAGTGTGAAGTCGTCCGGGTCGTCCTGTGCCTCCAGGCAGGTGGCAGGGACCCAGCCCTGCGCATCATCTGAGCTCACAAACCACCAGCCTGAATGAGCAGAAAGAAAAACAAACATCCAAGTTATTTTCCAATGAATTGCTACTCATGAACGACAATGACTGAACCAACAACCCCGGAACAATCAGACAGACAGCTAAGATGCTGTGAGATGTGTGTAGCACTTGCCGGATTCATTTTTCTCTATGACCTCCACCACCTGACCAACAAGCAGGCTGATTTCGCTGCCCTCCTGCTTCTCATAATTTGTTACTGCCACGTACTGTTCCAGGAAGAGCGGGTCTGCAGAGGTAGGATCTCCTGTTGAATAAGTGGAAATTAATAAGTTTGTCTGATTCCTTCTAATATTTGCTGTTTTTATGAAAAAGCTCCAAATTAAGCTCTAAATGAAATCTGAGCACCTGAAGAAAGCCTTCGCTCAAGTTCTCCTGTTTGTTTTAAATCTCCAATAAAGTCAGCGACTATTATATTAAGGAAAAGTCCAGAGAAACTATCAAGACAAAATCGGATCTCATTGCTTCTTAGTAATTTACATTTAAAAATCTGTATTGAGTTAATTAGTTTGATAATAAAAAGACAAATTTAATGACAGGTGATACAAGTACAAAATCTTCTCAGGTGAAATGAGCGAAGGCTTATCCATAATATGGAAACCCCAAACTGTTAGGCAGACAAAGTAGATTTGAAGGAAGGAGTGAGAGAAAGACTGAGGTAACAGTAGGAGGGATATATGGAGGAGGACGATGTGATTTGAGACAGTGTAGAGGGTTAATTCAATTATTTCTATGGATGTGATTTCAATTAAGACAACCAAACAAAAACAAGACCCACCACCAACTTTAGCAACATTTCATCAGAAATATCCAAATCCTCAAGATCGTGGTCGCAGCATAATTTAAATACGATTTAAATATTAAAAAACGTTACCTTGTCAGTCTGAAATTCAAAAACTATCTACTAATTGTTTTTACGGCAAATCTGATAGTTGGCAACCTAGTTTAATTTGTGAAAATAGCCTAATGTTGGGGACAAGTTAAAAGCTAAATGTTAACATGAAAACTATAAAAAAACAAAGAAGTTTATTTAATAATTGATTGATAACAACAGAATTCAGTTGCAGGTTTCCATAAAAAGTACCTGTGTATGAAATCAACTTTTTTTTTTTTTTTAAATGAGAAGGCATATATCAACAAATACCAGCATTGAAAACTACCAGCTATAAAACTGCTAAAAACTGGCATCATACCAGCAAAATAATTCCTATGTGATGCCATAAAGATTCCAGGAGTGATAAGACTTTTTTTATTTTTATGAAAAAATATATATGAAAAAAAATATATATCAATAATATGCACTATTCATTTTCTATGAATTTTATTCTACCATTAAAATCTGTTTTGGACCAATGCCTACATTTAGTTCTCTAAAGTTCCTCTAAAGATTCCCTGCTTGTAGATATTTTCTTGGAAATCCATTTTGCAGAACTTCAATTTGAACGAAGCGAAGCATCAATATTCACCTGACACATCTAGAATATATTATGATGCATAATTATTCTTAAACATTTAAATTAGCCAAACTATAGTCCGTTGTTTTAAATATTAAACAAAATGATTCTACAAAAAAAAAAAAAAAAAATCACCAAACATAAATATATGTTTTTTCAGACACAAAATGAGCCCCAAAACCTTAGCAGAGCCACATCCCACCTGCCCAGGCCTGGGAGGGAGAGGGGCAACACACCACAAGCAACCCACCGGGTTACACACACAGCACGGCAAAGCATGACAGTGTGTTTACTACCTCGCTTTAGGAAAGTAGTCGCTCTCTCCACAAACCCTGATGAAAAGGAAAATGAACGGAGAAGAAAACTGAAAAAAATAACATGGATGCAACTTAAGAACAGCAGGTCATTCGAAAGGATACAAAGAAAGGTAGAGGGAAAAAAGCATTTAAAGTACTTGTTTTGTGCTCTTGTGAGGTCAAATTTAGAAAAAATATTCGTGCAAATAGAATAGATGTCATGGAATCATTACTCCAGGGACGGAAAATATCCCCAAGCCTTTACAGAAGTATGAAACTGTGCCACTAGATGGTGCTAAAGTCACATTTTATTAATATTAATATAATATTTATGGAAAAATGTTTTGTTTTTTTGTTTACTTGTAATTATAAGAAGAATTAATAATAATAATAATAAATGTAAGATATCAATCCAAATGATAATTCCCTAAAGTTCTCTTACCTGACTTCTTCTTTCCAATGGGCTCCCTGTTAAAGAGAGACAATGCAATCATTAAGAAAAATAGGAAATCAGTTTGGATCAGAGGATTATGATCCATTTGCATCTACAACCTGGACCGACATGTTTAAAGATGCTCTTAAAAGAGCCAGTATAATATTTGGTTGGATGATAAATCCAGGACAGGAACTGCTGTGTCTGGTTTAGAAATAAGCAAGGCAAACAGGCATCACTCCACAGTTCGTTCCCAGAGCAGATGCATGGAAATAAAACTCTTGGCTAATTCCCTTTAGTCCTGCTTGGTCTTACTCTTAATCTTTTCCTCTTACTGACTAAATACAAATAAGCACTGTTAGAATGCAGACCACCACAAAACAGCTCAATTCCTTGTTTCACAAGTCTAAGGAATCTAAAAATAAATCCTTAATTTAGATTGCAATTTGGAATAAAAAAACAAGATTCAATAGGTTCTAAATTAGGCTAAGAGAAACCCTGTGGTAAAAACCTCAGAGCAATCAGCTTTATCCATACTCCTATAAACCAACAAACAAATAAATCAACCATCAAACAAAGCAATAATCCTGAAAACATTAGCTCCATGTTCGAGGTAATAAAACAGACTAGAATCATGTTATACTCTAGGCATAGTGAAGAAAACTTTAACAGCAATCAGCTGAAGTTAGAGAATCAGCTCTTTTATTCCTATCACTGAGGACTGGGCAGTACTGCACAAAAAGCAGCCGATGGACCAACTTTCAGCTTCAGGTTCCGAGGGGATCATGTTTATCAGCATAATTTAATCAGTAGCTGTGGAATGGTTGAAAATGAAAGCAAAAATAATCATAGTCTTAAAATGTATTCATTTTCTTCAAATATTAAAAATCTTATCGTGGTTCATTCTCCAGCTCCTTCTGAGGGATCCCTCCTCTGTCTTTCACCAGTGAGACATCCCAAAAAGCCTCCTGACTAAAGCATTCCAGAAGTGTCCCAATCAGATGCCCAAACCACCACAACTATCCTTTGGATTATGAGCAGCAGGGCCACTACACCAACCCCCACCCTCTGGATGAGAGTGAGATTCTAAAATTATTATTGATGTAAGGCAAGCTGCAACATCGGTCCTCTTATGTGGAAATAAAAGGACAATATTAAAGGCTGCACAACACACCAGTTATCTAAGACCTTTTGCCTGATCCTCAGACATCAAGGCAAAGACAAGGGGCAGCAGGTTTTTCTCCCCACATCAGGTCAGTTAAGTTATTTCAAGACAGCAATAGAAAAATCAACAATAACTACCACGCTTTCTAAAGTCTTGTGCTCTGAGTGACGCCTTTTACAAAAGGCAGGTTGTAAATATAGTACATAAAGAGAGGAGGGTGAAAAGCATGTTTTTAATCATACATATAATCAGGCCACATATCAATATTTAAAGCCCATGCCAGTATGGTGTCTATAATCATTTATTAACACACATTAGTGATAAATTAAGTAATGCAAGCTTTTTCCAAAAATATATATAAGCAAACAAAGCTACAGTATTATTTAAAAAGCAAAGTTTTTTTTTGGTTAAAGGAGAGGAGAGTAGGTTTTGTTGATATCTAATGTATTGAGCTGCTCATGCTGTCAGCAGCACGCTTTTCTTTATCTTTTATGTTTTCCAAGACTTCTTTTCAGTTTGGAAAAACAAAGGAGTTGTGTTCCATCCTCTAAAAGCCATGGCTAATGTGTCCCTAAGAGTACATGTTTCAAATTAATAACATTTAGCTTTTTATCAAATGTTTTTTTTAAACAAAGTTCCAATGTCTACAATGCCTTCTAATGAAAAATTCTAGTAATGTTGTCGCAGTGCATACTTTTTTATTTTTTTTTAACAAACTTTATTTACAAATAAAGAATATACAATTGCAGACAGTAGTATGCTCGAGGTACTGGGGTAACAGAACTACAGGATTCCATGAAACAGAAAAAAAAATAGATTACAAATTAAGTTCACCACTTAGGGTTTTAAGTTTCATAGCTTTAGAGTTGGTGCATATTTTTAAGGAGTCCAAAAGACAACTTACATAAGCTCTAAAAAATGTGAGGTTGGGTTTGTTTTTAGCAAATTTACAAACATGTATGTGGAACTTGGCTAACAGAATAAGAACATTTATAAAATATTCTTTCCCAGACATACTGCCCTTGGAAATACCAAACAGAACATGTTTAACATTCAGCGCAATAAGTATATTGCATTTCCCCTTAACAAAATTATTGAAGTTACACCACTCGCAGTTGGTTGGTCAGTTTCATCCAGCCGAACTTCTCTGATTCTGAAAGCGAGCCACAATACAAAACGAACAGTCAACCTTTTTACCAGTTTATAACCATAGCTTGAAACTGGATTAGTGTCTCCATTTCATTCTGTCTTAAAGATGGCAATACAACCATATCATCTGCAAAGGCAAAGTCAAGACCCAGAGGTTCCCAGATACCCACAACAGAATCAGAGGAATGACGAGGCCATAATGCAGCATAAAAAGCAATAGGATCACTAATAATGACCATTTTAATGTTAGGGGGGAGATTTTCTGTATCAAGTATGTTAACTGGATTCGATTGGCAGTCGTCTTATAAGAACCTTTAAAAAATTACTGTGTCTGTAACAGTTGTCCAAAACTTTCCACTGTCTGCCTGACTGCCATGTCAGTAGTCTTTTCTATGACTGCGTTATTCATTACATGCTCATAAAATGAAAGTAAGTTGTGATCATTTTCTTTTTCTGTGACGTTAAATTTTCAGAAGAAAGATTTTTTGTTCATTTCTAAAAATAATAGCAGTTAGCCCTTCAGATATACCAAGCTGTTTCATATATCCATGTTGCATTTGATATATTTTTTCGGAGTTAAATTACTGAAATAGATTTCTGGTCTAACTAACTGTGATACATTGGTTAATGAGCTTCAATTGTATGATCAGTCTTAATTCTATTTAATCAACCAGAGTTTTTTTTCCCCCCCTTCCTTCAGTCCCCCAAAGCATCAACTGTTCCTTCCATAGTCTCACTTTCAATTCAACACGTCGTTTTCTGTTCCAACTTCTCTTTTTTTCAGTGATCTGTTCTGGCATCACAAGCATCTGCTTCCCCTTTCCAGCTGAGTTCTCCTGTTTATCTCCTCCCTCTTGCTCTTAAGGGAGAAGTCTTGCTTGTCATGTCTTACAACACTCAATTTATATGCCATGATAAATCTTCTCCTGGCCACTGTCTGCGCCCCAGCCTTCTTGTCAGAAGGCCAGACAATAGAGTGCACTAATACAGGGCTTTAATCCAATTTCATTTCAGATACACCAATGCCTTTTGAATATTTGTCTGCCTTTAGTGAGTGCTCTCTGTATTTCATGCTTATCCATAGAAATACTTGGGGATTTGCACAAAGAGAAAGAAGGAACATTTGTTTTAGCAGGTCCTTAGAAAGAATGTGAAATAAGAAAAGAATGACAATTATGAGAGATGTGTGAAACACACAAATCAAAATCCAGCTGGCAAGTTTTTGATTGATTCATATTCACAATCTATGTTCGATTTAAGTCATGAAATTGTTCAAGTATACCCTCAACTTTAGGTTCTGGGAACAACAATTTCATTGACATTAATATGTTAAGTCTTATTAAGCCAGCAAGACACTGATGGCTGCTACTAGTTTTATTAGAAGTCAAGCTCTTCATCTTGATCTTTCGATTAAAAAAAAGCAGAAGCAAACCTCCAAGTATAAATGAAAACATGACGGGTTGTTATGGGTTTATATTTAGCCTTCCTTCCCCACAGCAGCTCCAATTGATTGTCCTTAGTTAACACCCCCCAACTGCTCACTCTATTTCAGTCACTTTATTGTAAATATTCAGATCCAAATCATTAATTAAAAACTGAGCAGCTTTAGACCTGATAGTTTACTTCAATTTTAGGATATTTTACCATTAATCTTAAAAGATAAACATGGAGAAATAAAGCAGACGCACATGAACCAGGATACAATTTAACTCATACTGAGTTTATTCCAAAAAAGTTTAAAAAAACAAACCACTGGACTTTGTTTTCCAAGTTTGAAGACTAGGAAGACGCTTCCCATCAAAGAAGCTTTCTCAATTCAAAATGTCTGGAGTAGCGTTGAGTTCCAGGTTTATAGAGTGACACAAACAAAGCTTAGAAAACATGCAAATTGAACCGAAAAATAGGTCCAACCCTTAGTAATGGGAAGTCATTGAGGTCATTGTTGGCCTGCAAAACCCAAAACTGGCCCATGCATCTGTAAACGGGAGTTGTTTGCTCTAATATGTTAGATCACATCAGACCACAACAGTTTAAGAACATATATTGTAAACTGGGAACTTTTAAACCCTGCAGTTTGGTCGTATAGTTTGAGCTCTAGCTGAGTACAACAACTGAAAATATTGTGGATGCCCGGCTTAAGATACAGCTTTTATTCATTAACTGAATGGCATCAACCCTATGGAATGCCTCTGCATACTATCAGATCCATTTTTATTTCATGAGCTTATTTATATATTCATTATTTGGGGGGGATATTTATTTTTAATGCTTGAATACAGATAAATTATTAAAGCAACCATATGATAAAAAAACTAAGGACTTATATAATGCTAAATGAAATGAGCTAGCTTTTTTTTTTATATGTACATTTATCTTTTATAAGCTTAATAGATTTGGATCAATTGGTTTTATGGATTAATAAATGCTCCAAGAAATTTAGTTAAAAAGTCCTGTAGCAAACCTGCTGGGTGAAATAACTTCTTTATGCTCTAGCATACTACTCACAGGTACATTGCTATCAGTTAGTTACAAGCAAGAAGGTTCTGCAGGGTCTTTCTGCATGGAGGTTGCATATTCTCCCTGTGCATGCATTGGTTCTCTCCGGATACTCCGGCTTCCTGCCACAGTCCAAAAACATGACTGTCAGGTTAATTGTCTTCTCTATATTGTGTGAGTGTGTATGTGCATGGTTGTGTATTTCTGTGTTGCCCTGCGACAGACTGGCAACCTGTCTAGGGTGTACCTCTCATTTCACCCATACACTGCCGCAGATAGGCACCGGCCCCACCGCGACCCTGACAGAACTACCCGAGAGAAAATGGATGGATTGATGGAAGTTAGATAATAGTTAACAGGTTTCATGCAATAAACACACAGAAGCCTTGTGTCTACCGCTGCTGTACCTTTAAAACATAATGAAAAGGTAATACTGTGCAAATAATGCCTGTAGGGAAAAATATTACGTGTTGCGTTCCTGCAGTGAAAATAAAATCTGAAAGCACTGAAAGTAAAAGGTAATGTTGAAGTTAGAGTATGATCTAAACTACAGAGCAATAAACTTCCCCAATTTGTGTCTGATTTTACTTCAGCTCCAACGTCCATGCTGTTAGTCACAAAGCTAATTATAATAACTATAAATATACTCTTTTTTTTGCTCACTGGGACAACTTCTACACCACACATTAATGTGTGTTGACAAAGGTTAAACCTTACAACCTAGCTGACAACTGTTGATGGGGAGAGACATAGCCCATGGGCCAAAATGTGAACTTGACCTCTAATGCCCTGTAGTTACTCACAACCTTAATTACTCATTCAAAGCCAAATGGTGTGTTGGCTGCTGGTGTTTTGAGCCAAAGTCCTTTATTCGTGTGTAAATTTGCTGTCACTGCTGAATATGACTAAGATGTTGAGCTTGCTTTTGAGAGACAAAACAAAAATAAAACCCAAAGGAAGAGGCTGTCTGCAGGCTCAGCTGTACAGTTCCGGAGCTGCAGCTACATGCTAAAGTGCAAACTCAGCACTTCAAAGGATGACTAAATGTGCCTCAACAGGAAAACAAAAATCCAACAGGAAGCGGTGCAACATTATAAAATCACATTCATTAGAGAGTGTGTAATGAATGCTTATTATCAGCAAAATGGGCTATAAATGCTCACAAGATATAGCCTGAGATACAGAAACAATAATTTTCCATTGTGCAGATGGGAAATCTGAGCTCATGTCTGAGTTTGTGTAAGCTACTTACTCCTTGGGTGGATTGAGGTCTTCAGGTCTGGTCTCAAAAAACACTCTGACTTCCTCGCACTGGGAAATGTAGACTGGCAGCTGGATCAAAGCCTGCAGGCAGGAAAATAAGATAAAGACATCAAATATGGAGTTTTGCTTTCTGGGGAAGGCAGTTACATCCGATTTAAACAGCTAAACTGCAATAGATTTAAACCAGAAAATATCAATCGAACTCACAATTTCCTAAAAAAGTGTAGCAATGTAAAATGGCTGGAATCAGCTGCAGTGTTTGGCAGTTTTCTTTCTCATCTTTCACACCATCGACTTTTGATACTGCATAACTTAATTGCAGCCATAAAAACAATATAAAAGTGAAAGGGGCTTCCAAATTGCTAATTTATCTGAATAAACTCATGACAGAAACTGGTTAATGCTTTGTTTTAATCCTAGTTACTAATAAATGTCACATCAGTTGTTCAAGTTTAACCTTAAAAAAACAGTTGAGAATTTTCCAAGTCTGGTTTTATTTGAAGTTATTATGGACAACAGCTTTTTTTCTTATTAAAAACACAATTTGGCAGTGACAGGGAGAAAGGCTAGTGATTCTAATAAATCACTTTTAAATCTAGCAGATCAAGTGAACACTATTTTATGAGCCTTTAAACCATTTACAGTTGATGTTGGAGTCGGTAAAGCACTAATTAGTTTCCTTTGTAAAACATATATGGACATCAAAGCATGTAGAGTTGTTCTGCTCAGAATAACTATATAATTAACTATTTGTGATTACCTCACTTTTTATTTAGACAATAATTGCCATTAAAACATGTTGTATGTTCTGTTTTAAGTATCGATACGTAGCATTCAGCAGTGTAAAACAGAAAGTAAGCTTTGTTGTAAATAGAGACTAAAGCAAACATTAGGATGGGTTTAATGATTATAAAATTAACATTCCAATAAGCTCCTAGGTAATTTTTGAGACTGCAGTTATTTTAAGATTGGAGACCAATTAGGTGTAAGCTTTGTAAAGACTAGCCACAATCTTCAACATCCAGGAAAGGATATAGACTAAATTAAGGTGTTATGGGTATTACCTAATACAGGCTAAATATTAAAGAGCACTTTGCCAAATCATCTGTTTAAAATTATAATAATATTTTCTTTTCCCTTCTGGTTAGCAGCCCGGTCGGAATCTGTATTTTTCATGTTTTGTTTTTGCATTCATTCACTTTTTAAGCAAATCTTATAACAAGAGACTGCGTTAATATAATAGGCAATCCAACAGCTTTCTGTACAGTGTTTCTTAATCATTCCTTCCTTTAGTTTAGATCTCTGTTTATTGATTAATCCTCCCACATCCAGCACATCTGTGAAGGATCTCCAACAGCCGACCAATTAGCCCTGACAACGCAGTTTTAGATGAGAAAAAAACAGTCTCATTTAGCAATCTATTTACTGCTATGTTCCATCTGCTTTTAACTCTATCAGCATGTAACCGTTTGCTTTTTCACTTAGTGATGTGCTATAAGAAGCAGATAATCACGTCAACAGCATAATGATGAAGAGAGAAAACCTTTCTCTGATACGAATAGTTGACCAGATGAGAACCATCTTTGATTTCAAATAAAACGAGGCTAAAATCCAAATGCAAGCGAGCCAAAGCTCAGTGCTATCCATCAAGCTTCCCCTGCTGCTATCCATGTCTGATTTTAATACTCCTAAGTGTTTCAGTTTTGTCCTTCAGAGGAGTCAACCTCTAACAACGGCTGTCACCCACTGACGTAAAATCATGGCTGATAGAAAATGAAAGCTGAAGACCCGACATGACTGTCCTTGTCGCATCTGCTGCATTCGACTCATCCCATTTTAAATGCACTAGTTTGGCTCGGACTCATTCCTACCACTGACTGGGCACTTTTTCGACATTCCAAAAATAGAAGAGTGCTTATGAGTACATAAAAGACTTTCTATTTTGTTGCATTGTACATGTAAGACCAGACCTAACAGCTATGGTTGTATCTGGAATCACTGGCTAGGTGGCTTATTTCAGATGTGCAAGTGGTTTCACCAGGGAGCACTATAACAGGTCCAGCAAGCATTTGCTTCACCTCAGGTCAGAGTGCATCATGAGCCAGTTATCCTCTCTTTGGATGTATTTATCTCCTCCAGTCAGCCTATGGCGGTTCCACTCATTACGATTCTCCCCAGGGAGGAGACAGGAGGGAGGCTTGGGGTAAATTACATTAAATGGACTTTATGGCTGTTTTTTGCAGAGGGGCGCATTAAGGTAATTGTGAGTGCTCACATCTGTGCATGTGGATAGGGCAGTGAGCATTTGTGTATTCTCCAAGGAAAAATATAATGGAATTGAGAGATTTCCTCCATAAGGAACAGCACCATGTGATTGTATGGCTGCATGGTATCTTTTTACAAGAAACATAAACCGTGGTTTTATTTTAGTCACCATCTATTGCAACTAAAAACTGGGATTTTGTAAAGTTCCTTGCAAAGGTATCTAAACCACTTAGCTTGTGTCATTTTGTCAGATTGTTAAACAATATTCATCTAGGCCTTTGCTACTTAATGTGATAAATCAACATAAAGCAGCCAGCGATAATGTAGGGATTATGAGAGAAGCTGCTAAGTGGCCTATGGTAACTTTAAAAGAGCTCCAGATTGTTGGAAGCTGGAGAAGTACCTCTCTTCTCCAGCAGAGTCCGCCGTGGATCCTCCTGAGCAGAGCCCTCTGCACAGCTGCTGCTCGTTACCATCATCAGGAGGACCCTCTACTTAAGCTGTCTTCAGACCTTGCCTCAACGCCGCAGTGTTGAGCCAGTTGGTTAGCACCTAAGCCCAGAACCTCTGAGAACTTTGCTTGCTCTGAGATCCTGACAGGATCCTAATCTTGTCTCTGTCTCTCCAGGAAAACCTGATCTTCCTTCGTGAAGCTCTGGAAGAGCTTGACCCGCCGAGCCTGCCCTCAGAGCCAAACCTGAAGACTTCCCCTGGATTCTCTTGCAGCTCTGGACCAAGAGCTGGAAATCCAAAGTCAAGGTCTGCTACCTTTCTAGAAGCAAGACGCTGAAGCAGCTAACGGACTCAGCTAATCAGACTCTCTCCAGTTCCAACAACCTTCCTCTCCAAGATCCATTCAAGGACCCACAGGTACAAACCAGAGACTATCAAAGGACAAACCGCTAAAAGCCCAGCTAACTAACTGTCTTCCTCACAGACTCCGGTGAACCCGTTTGCCCAGGACCAGAACCAGAACATACTACCATTGGATTGTATTCAATAAACTCTGTTAACTTTTCATCTGTTTCCTGTGTCGTGGTGTTCTGCATAATTGGGTCACATTCGTGTACCGATCATGACAGAACACTGCGGCCAAACACAAGGCCCAGCAGAACACATCCGCCGTCGATTGGAGGAGCAAGATGCACAAATTTATGGACAAGCTCAGACTCTCCGTGAGTTATACTGTCTTGTGGAAACTAACAATCAAAAGCTTCAGAGCTATGCTAATTTCATGAACAGTGCTAACGCCACACCGGCAGCGCAACCTTTTCCGGGTCCAGTTCCCCCTCCGAGGTCACCAGCAGTGACGTCATCAGAGTTCCGCCCAAGCCTTCCTGAAAAATTCTCTGGTAATATGAAGGATTGCAGAGGATTTTTATTTCAGTGCAGATTATTGTTCCAGAACTCTCCAAACAGCTTTTCGACGGACTTTAAGAAAATAACCTTTATTCTCTCTCAACTAACAGGAAGAGCTTTGGAGTGGGCCCAGGCCAGATTTCCCTCAGATGAAAGTCTCAACTGCCGATACTCTGATTTCATTTCTGAATTCTCCCAGGTTTTTAATCAGGAAACTGATCAAACAATTGACTCTCGTGCTCTTTTCAGTATTAAGCAGGGAGATTCATGTGTGGCTGATTTTTCGATCAACTTCCGGGTTAAGGCAGCAGCTTCCGGATGGAATCAAAGTGCTCTGAAGGGAGCTTATTTCATGGCCTTAAATGAGAATATTAAAGACGAACTGGCAACTCTCGACGAACCAGCCTCCCTTGAGGATCTAATTAAACTAACAATTAGATTGGATAACAGAATTAGAGCCAGAAACAGCTCTAAGTTAAGAAATTCTGGGTCTCACGCCTCTACTTCTGCATCAAATATTGTGACTGTTTCTTCTCCTCCCACAGACCGACCAAAAGCCCAGTCCCTCCCTCTGCCTTTTCAGGCTTCATATTCAGGTGGTACGGAGGTCGAACCTATGCAGGTGGGACACACTCGGCTTACTCCTGAGGAGAGACAAAGACGTTTTTTGAGCAGACTTTGCATCTATTGTGGTGAAAGTGGACATTTCATTGCTTCCTGCCCGGCAAAATCAAAAGGCAGGGCCCGCCAGAGGATCTGAGGAGTCTGGCGGGCCAAACCAACTCTAAGAAATCTCCTCGATTGATGCTGCCTGCCACCTTGTTTTGTAATAATCAGAACCTCTCTTTTTCTGCCTTTATTGACTCAGGCTGTGAACGGAACCTCATAGACTCTAACCTCGTTCAACAATTGATGATTGAAACTGTTCCTCTTTCTCAACCCCTCCGTGTCTCTGCCATTGATGGGAAAAATCTCCACCAAGTTACTCATCAAACCCAACCCCTCGAGCTCCTCCTCTCAGGTAACCATCGTGAAACTATCACATTTTTTGTTATTCCCTCCGCATGTTCCCCGTTGGTGCTTGGATTCGAATGGCTGGAGAAACACAACCCACGCATTAATTGGACTGAACGTCACGTGGAAGCATGGTCTACGTCATGTCATGAGACTTGTCTTCGGTCGGCAGCCCCCGTGGTGGGGCCTCCTAGGGGTGGGGGAGAGATGGACTCTCCTGACCTATCTTCGGTTCCCTTTGAGTACCATGACTGTGCTATTGAGTTGTTACCTGGAGCACCGTTACCCAGCAGCCGTTTATATAACATCTCCAAGCCAGAACGAGAGACAATGGAGAAGTATATTAACGAGTCTTTAGCTGCTGGAATTATTCGCCCGTCCTCTTCTCCTTTGGGTGCTGGTTTCTTTTTTGTTGGCAAGAAGGATGGTTCGTTAAGACCATG